AAATTGAGCGTAAACATTAACGGTGTACATAGCTTCCATTGCGCAGTGCATATCACTTCTATCATGATTCGTCTTTGAAAGTGATCAATCGTGCCATCTTTGTGGTTACTAGTTTGACCTGTATATTTGCACAAGACGTGTCCGTCATGTGCGTCCCAAATGATATTTCTATATGTACTATTCTGTATATTCTGGTCAGAATAGCAAAACTAGATGTCGGTGCTAGCCAGAAGTCAGTATTGATGATACTTTGCTTCTTAAATGTATGCTGCCGTCAGAGCTTATAATAGCGTTTGAGAGCAATGCTCCCTCCGTATACAGACTTACAGTGGGGCTCAAGTATTGTGACTTCCGAGATGTACTTGAGAGGCACGGGGAGCAGAGTATTGAATTTCTCCTGGTGATCCTGTGAGTTAAAAGGGGTTTGGTGATTTATGAGCCCCCCGCACTAGAAGACAAACAATGTACAGTGTCCACGAAGGATCGAGTTTAGCTAGGTTACATACATGCGTCGTACCTTTCGCAGACATATCAAGGAAAAAGTATTTATGTTCCATAATATATCATCTATCCTTGAGTTTTACCTGCGTTTTTGATAGGTTTGAATCTCGCGAAAAGTGGCATATCAACGGTTGTGCGGATAATACTAGCTGTGGACGTATGACGGCGAGCTCCGCGCCACAGGCTCAACAAGTCCTCTTAATGGTGTGATATCTTCTACTTCTCGTGAGTGGCTTCCTACTCGTAGGACGGTCTTAACTCCCGAAGTGTGTTCGCTGCTACTTGCCCTTCGGCAGCGCCTCCTGACAAGGAAGAGGATAGCCAGGATGATAGCTAACTCCACTCCTACGCCACCAACTAGGGCCCCCATAAATGTCCTATTCCCATCATTATCATTAGAACGTGGCGTAGATGTCCCAGATGTCATGGGAGAGGATGAATCGTGATGATATGCTCTGTGCGAGGAAATTGAATAGTGCGGAGTCTATGCCTATTTTGAAAGAGTAGATATAGCTTCAATATCCCTTGAAACTGCAGGAGGCATTGTGTACCCATGTAGTTCTGGCTCTTTTTCATACCATGAGCCAATAAAGAAATTGAGCTATTATAGGCCGATATAGACTTACACTAAAAATTGCTGGGCTATTCTCTAACTGAGCATCGTACAGGAATGAGGGCATATTGAAATAGCTAGCTCGCTCTTCAACATACCAACTCCTCCTTCCAACGATTCCAAAGATTAGACTTCTCTAAGCTTCACGTAAATGTGACATTCACTCATCGTCAAGGTTTCTTGCTTGATACCATTTGAATGAGGGGAGAGACAGATATGATCTACCCGAAGTTAATATCTTTAGAAAGGCTAGTAAAATGAATACATACACATCAGAATACAAGTCATAAGATATAGCAACTACTCCAGCTAACACGTAGAACATTATTGACAATCTCAACTATATTGAGTGGGTTGACCCCATGATGCGATTGTAACGTCCATCGTCAAGTGTTCCCTTCCAAAGTCCCAGCCTCTATGATACCCTTCAAACAGATCTGTAAGTACATTTGCTACTGTCAAGACACACTATAGCAGATATGTAGAATCAGATCTATAGGGACTGCTATTTCAACAGTATCGCAACCACGCGATCCTCGAGCTGATGAACCCCCTATTACTATTCCAGTAGTAGGCCGTCGGGCAGAACACTGCCGCTTTGGATAGTTTATCTCTAATATTTCAAATACAGCAAGATGGCCACTTAAGAAAGTAGGAAATAGACAATTTGCATTGGCGTCTGAGTGGCCGTGGAGTATATTTATAAAATTTGATGGCAAGACAGATAATTGGCTAGTCAGCTCTTACACCGTCTAATACTGTTTGCATTGCACTGGGTATGGATTCCTTCATTAGCTCCGATCCAGAATAGTATACGCAGGGACATATCCATGATGATCATCACGCAACGGCTTGTTATGTTGCCAGGATCTCACATTCAGGTGGGACCGAGACGTAGGGATCAGCCATGTTCTAGCTTTTCAGAGACTACGTCTGTCTTGGCACAGTCAAAAATTTTGATCTCAATCTCATGGCTCATTAGGCAAGCTGGCACCTGTTCCCAGTGTCATTTTTAAGATGACCGTTTCATCTGCGTGCCGACCCGCTCGGAACCGTGCACGGGGCGAAGAGTTCAAAAATGCTGTCAGGAAGTTAGGCGTAGTACTCCATGCCTATTAGCGCTAGAGAAGTTTTCTCTGGTCGATAAATCTCAATAGGGAAGCCAACCTTGGAATGTGTGAGGAAGTCTGGAAGATATAGTATCAGAGCGGGTGCCGAAGTCTTGTACAAGGGACAGCCTCCTTACTCCATGTATGTTGACGATCTGACTAGCCCCCAGGGCAACCAACGAAGAAGGAGTATTCAAGAGAACTCAAAGGTAGGTCAGACATATGCAGCGGTTAGTCTCATTGAACTACCGGGGACTTTGCTGATTAGAAATGAGCGCATCTCGGCACAGAGCTACCTCAAGATCAGTTTGACTATTCGTGGGGCGGAGCTGATTGCGCGTCTTGCTAGTGGCCTTCTTTCTTTCAGTTGCTATACATCTGAAACGTAGAGTAGCCCTACGTTTGAGTTTCATATATGCGAAACCTGCAAGGTCGGTGAGCTCTGGTGAACTAGTTGCCTTATTAAAGTCTACGCTATGATAGCTCAAGATATAAAACAACTTCCTATCTTCAGAAGCCTCGGAGCAGATTTGGACGATGGCCGATTGAGCTGTGTATAGATAGTAATATGTTAAAATGAAACATACATCGCACTTATTTACATTGCCAGGTAAGTGACTAGACATTGCCTTCAGTTACAGACATTTAGTATGCACAATGGGGTTGTTTGAGATTAATGTAAAACCCTACCCAGTTGCTAAATGAAGAGGAGCTTGGCGGGTGCAAGACCCGTATAGTGGCCCTCTCACATGCGGGAGTTGTCAAAGCGGCGATTTCGCCCATCCGTGGGCAAAAATATACCTCCTCATAATCTAAAGACGTAGAAGACCCCCTATTGGAATAGGCAAGCAAACATAGTCGGGCTGACATCATACATCGGGAAGAGACCATTGCAGATCATCATGGAACATAGGAAACAGTGCACATCCTTACACAATGAACGCAGATGGATTTCAGACAAAACATTGCTCAAGCTTTAAAGGAGTCGCAGACAATTGAAGTCTTTGGAACCAACTGAGATGCGACCCGCAAAGAGACTGGCGCTAAACTCAAAGTAGCGTACCCTGGAGTTCTAATTTAATCCCCACGAGGAATGTGGAAGTCAATTTGGGTTTTCATCACTAATTATGTTCGTTATCAATAGAAATATGAATGGACTATACCCACTACAACGTAGTAGTACTTGTATGACCTTGGATGGCACCCCTTTACGGTACGGTACAGATTCTGGTCCCGATCACACCTTCATTTTTTTAAGGAGTCCAAAGTTAAATACTAGTATCGACCCCAAGTACTCCCTACTCTGCATAGAAATGCCTCAATTCCCACCCCCACGAGGTAGAATAGCTTTGTCAGAGTGATTGAAAGTACCAGATAATCTTCTCTAGTGTCGATGTGTCGCATCATCACTGAGACAAGGTGAGAATAGTGCTACTCACAATGTCTTTCGGATCTAATCATATTCACAAGAGATAATACCCAGATAGGAGTACTTTGGTAGTACTCTACTACTTCGGAGAAGTACTACCTCAAGAGGTGGTGGGACGGTCTCTATCAAAAAGGTTGACGGGCCGCGCTAAGAAACAAGACAGATTATTACACCCAAGAATAATCTCCGGTTACCGGCTAACCCTCAGACAACCCATACGCCATTGTGCAGCGGCTTCTCTGGGATGATGCCTTTTCATAGGACTGCTGAGCCGGAATATGATTTCATCTATTTCCAATTAGGCATATCAGCAGACTCATGGAATCATAATCCCCCTTAATACTGAAGACTTAACTGTCTAGGGTAATTAATTATTTTGTTCTTTCTGTAAGGTAGATATCTTCACTCGGTACAGGAACTGTACGGATGGATACCGATTTTTGATACAAGTGGAACGGTCCCGGGGAACACCGAGCATTTGCCTTATAAATCCGATCATGAGATATCAGGAACAGAAGAGGCTATTCCAGTACTTCAGGGTAGTTCTACCTACAATGGAGGAGTATATGGTGACTTTCAACCAGCCCCTAAACTACTTTTCCTTCCCTGGAGTAGAGGGAGGAGAATAGCAGGTGACTAGACGGGTTAAGGAGAGGTGGTGAGAGTTCACAGTATTAATTACCAGCAAAAAAATGGGGACCGGGAAGAAGCGATTCAACAAGCCGGGTCTCCATCACCAACCAGATCAAGCCAAATCCATCCGATGCCCACCCTGCTCTTTTTATTGTTAATAATAATTTTGTATTTCTCGGGACTGGTGGATTGATTGTGTGTTGTGGTGTGGACGAGAAAGTGTGTTTGTGTGCTTTTCTCCCAAGGTGGGTGGTAATTTTTCTTCCTATCTGCTTTTCAATTTTCAATTTTCAGTTTTTTATTTAATTTTTTCTCTTTTCAAAGGGCGATACCTATTTTTCCTTTTCGAGTCTGGAGCGTTGCCCAACTCCGTAATACTGTACAGTAATTCGAAAAACAATCTCTATCTTTTCTTATCCCCGGTCAAGGGAAAAAAAAAAAGAGACAGACAGAAGGAAACAATCGCGCTTTTTCGTTTCTTTCCTTTTCTCCCCCTCTTTCTTGTCCCCTCACGGCCCCAGTCCAGTCCAGTCCAGTCCAGTTCAAGTCCAAGTTTCTCACTTTGGCTTGTCGCACCTGCTCTGTTACCCGACCACGTCCTCCTTCACCCTCTCTCGCCTTCCCTCCCTCTTACCCTCCCCTCCCCGGTTTCCTCTTCCCTTTTCACACCTTCTCAGCCCCTTTGATTTCCCCACGCCAGACTCTTCGTCTGTCGTGCCTCTAGGGTGAGAAGTCGCTGTCTATTGCTACCATTCTGCCTCGTTCACTCGTGGTAGAGCCGTCCGGATCTTTTGTTGGGAGGATAATCACTCCTTTTTTTGTAAGTCCACTCCCTTACCGAACAACGCATGGGCATTTTGGGCTGCGCATGTCAACCCGCCTTCACAGAAGTTCTTGCTTTTATTCAAGAAAAAGAGAAAATAAAGAAGAAAGAAGAAAAAAAAGACCCCTTGCTCTTCGATTTGAAAAAAGACGCAACTCTTTCCCCTAATTTTATTGCAGTCGGGGTGTTCCAAATGATTCCGTTCGTGTTCGCTGTCGGTCGAGAGAGAGAAGCCAAGAAATCATAGAAAAAAAAGTTTCTGATACGGAGTGCTTGAAGAAACATTCCGCATGCTAAAATCAGTCCGATTAATGTCATCGTTGATCACCGTGCGCCTTCTCTCTCTATCGCTCGCACACCTGGTTCATCTATTTGGAACCTCCGCTGCAATCCGCAATATCTTGTCATTCAATTCCATGTTGTCTTAATCTAGCCCGGGAGCTTACGCTTACCCTCACTTCTCAACAGTCTCCCCTGATCATCTCCGAGCGGACCATCAACCTTCGCAGCATCCATTCCATTGATCGTCGCGATTCTTGTCGGTGAATATGTCTTACTACGAACCTCAAGGTTGGCAGGCGCCCGCTGCGCGCCAGGTATCTTGGGAGCAACCTGCTCCCCCATCTCGTTCGGGTATGGTTTGATCATAAACCTGGGCGATGGTGCTCTTGCCCTCATACAGTGAAGCTAATGCTCCGACTCTCAGGATCGAGCTCTGTCTCTCAACGCGACGAAGTTCCTGCTTTTTCCTCTCAGTTTGACGGTATGACCGTGACTTCCCTATTCTATCATTGCTCCGACATGGGCTTGAGAAAGACAATCTGCGAAATACCGGCTATTGGTGGTTTTTGGTTGGGCTTCCTGATCTGGTCATATATCACATCATGCTGGTTACCGTGGATTGTTATCGGCACTCCGTGTCGCCGAAGAAACAGAGTCGAACAATTGCTGACTCCTTTCCTTAGAGGTGGATCGTGCTATTGACAACCTTGTCAAGAGCGGAAAACTGTGGTCTGCTCCTCGGAGGGACTCGATGCCCATGATGATGGGCCGCCCGTTTCCCGACTATGGTATGAAACCTTAGACTGCTTTATTGTCACCTATCGATATCTAAACATGGTTGCAGATCCCCGTGTGTCCAATACCATGTCCCAGCGTCACCACTCGATTAGCGACTTCGACGGAGCCAGGATGCACCCGAACCCCAACCTTCAGGGGTTCTATGCCTCCCAACGTTTTCAGGGACGCCCAAATGAAGTAGAGCACATGATGCAAGCAAAGCGTCGGATGGCGGCACAGCGTGAAAGGGAGCTCCGCAACTATCACCAGGAGCAACAGTACAACCGAAGTACGTGGTAGCATTTGCCTTTGGAGCTTTTTTTTCTTTTTTTTGGCTTCTTTCTCCAATATTCCCCATGACTTCTTCCTTTGCCCACATGTATCGGTTGCATTGTATAATACATTGGGACGTGGTTCCTTTCTTGAACATGAGTTTTAATATTCTTTTCTTTTCTGAAAGGCCTGCTTGCCGAAATGTCTGGAAACAAGTCCGATCGTTCGCTCAGTCCGGCCGCCATGAGCGAAGAAAGCCGTCGAGAACTCCTAGCTCGCCAACATAGGGCTTTGTACGGCAACGAAAGCCCCGCCTTCTTCCCTCCTGGCAGCTTTGCGGATGACAACCCACGATCTGAGAGCCACGGTGGCGGTACCCCAACATCTGCCACTGGTGTCCGTGGCCCGTCCCCGCGTGGTGTTGATCCTTTCGGGATGGCCCAGACCCCGGTCCAAGGTAGTACTGATAACGTTGCTCAAGCTGGCGCGTCTCTTCAATCCCCTTCTCGCGCGACCAGTACGTCTTCGCCTAGCTCGGGCATTAACCCTGTCTTCGGCAAGTATGACAACGCCGAGCAACCGATGACCTCGACCTCGTCCCCCGGAAGATCCGACTCGCCCTCCGCGAGGCAGGCGCATTCGAAGCCAGCCAGCGGTCCCATTGGCTCCGTGGGCCCTATCGGTTCTCGCCCGGTCCAGCCAGCGGGTCAAGTTCAGGCTGCCAACCCGGCTCTGAACAAACGCTCCACGACACCCCTGCCATCTCCTCTTGGTTTCGGCTTCACACCAGGTGACGCAGGCGCAACCAATGATCGTTCGGCCTCGTCGGCCTCGAACCCTTCCACCTCCGCTTCTGCCGGAACTCCCGGTGTGAAAGAGTCTAGCGGTGGTGTGGCACTTGGCTGGGGTAATGGCGGCGGCGTTTGGGGATCGAAGAACGGACTGGGCGTCCAAGCCTCCGTCTGGGGTTGATTTACGAAACAAACGATTCGGCTCCGATTGACGCTTACTTCATCATTCAATATGCGTTAGCTTCTATGTCGTGGCGTTATAAGAGAGGGTTCTATTTATGATTCAAATCTTGGGAAAGAGCATGGTACATATATGGGAGAAGTGGTGCAAGAATACGTTCTGTTTAGCGCTCCGTCATATGTGGACAGTTTAATTGGTACAGGTTGGTTTACTGACTATGGAACTTGGTTGGCCTGTTGGTTACTGGAGTCGGTATTCCCCCCTTGGTGTGCTTTTGGCATTTTTGAGTTCGTTCATCGTTTATTTCTATGTCTGGTAACTTGGTCTCTGTGACTTTGTCCTTGCATTTGTTCCGTGTTTCACTTTGGCTATTTCATTGGCATTTGGGCCTCTTCTTTCTTTTTCTTCGATTGGGGTTTGTATTTACATGCTTGTGAGTGTATGTGTCGGGCTCTTGTTTCCAGCTCATTCGGGAAGGTTTCCGGTGTTACATGTCATCGTTCGGGTTGTGAGTTTGGCCAAAGCATGCGATTCTTTTAATTTTGCGATAGGTACGGGCACCAAAAGGTTGAGTTTCTATTTCTTTCTTCTGTCACCTTGTTTCTTCTATCTTGGGGCATGGGCATCGGAACATAGGGGGAGCAGGGAAACATAAAGAGTTATCGGAGTCTGATCTGCACAAGGTTCTGGTATGTCATCTTGGATATTCATATTGACTTTGGTTTCCTATTGGTTTTGTCGTGTGTTCTGCTTTCATATATTTATTCTCCAATCCATTCGGCCCATCTCTGTCTATGCAGGTCTGGTTTCTTTTTTGACATATCTCATGATACGAAGTCACGTCTTCCACCCATTTAATCTGATATTGCGGTATTAAATCACAGTAGACACAAGGGCTTTTGCTTCTTAATTGTACCAAAGTCTGATATAATGTTGGATTTTCTATCTCTAGTATATATGCCAGATATAGAGACCGCATTAAGTTGGAAAAACGAAGATGACATGGAAAAACAGTAACTTTTGCACAATAGCATACCACACCTCAGCGCAATAGCAGTTATAGGAAGATCATAGAACGATGGAGAGATATATAGAGCAGAATTAGAGTCCGAGTATGAAGAGAAATAAAAAGAAGTACTCGCAAAACAAGAAACGATAACAAACCCCTAAACGCCACCCTAAACTGGACTAGTATGTGACGTGCGAGGATCATTATTGGCCGTGGCAGAATCATGAGTCGTAAAATTAGGATTATGATTAGGCGCGACAGCCTCAGTATCGATCATTCTCTTCGCAGTGAACAGACCCGATACACCACGTTCCTGATTCTTACCCAGCCAAGGTTTGCGCGCTTCGCCCAGGACCCGACGGCCGAGGAAATAGATCAGCTGACCGACGATGATAAGCACGAAGGCGATCGGATACATGAAGTGGATGGTATAATGGAAGACCTTGATGCCGATGATGACGCCCCAGAAGTTCATGGTCAGCATGGAAATGTTGAAGAAAGCAGCGGACGACAACCGGAAGAGGAGCGGAGCCATGCAGTAGAAGAAGGTCAGGCAAAGGGTGTATCCGGCGAGATAACCACCGACTTCGCTGTTCCAGGTGGCGGTCCTGAACGAAGCACGGTCGAAAATGCCGGCCTGGGCACCGTTGATGATCATGCCCCAGAACGCCATCTGGCCCAACACTTCGTAGACGGGTGCTGTGCTGACAAAGTACTCTTCTCCGGTGTTGGCGAGACCGTAGAAAGTTGCGCCCAAGAGGGCGAACAGGTCCCCTTTCAGTTGGTTGCCGCTGCTAACATCGCCGCCGTTGGTGCCGGTGATATGGTCGGATGCGATCAAGACGCCCATGCCGCCGATACAGACCAAAATACCCAGAACTTGCGTGATGTGATAGCGGACGCGTAAGAATAGGAACGAGATGATGACGACGACTGCAATGGCCCAGAAGTTAATTAACTGGGCACTAAGCATAGTTGTGTATCGGTATGCCAGCACGATGAAATAATTGCCTTCGACGTCGCAAAATGCTAAGATGATATCTGGATCGCACAAGGTCAGATAGTTAGATATAACTGGTCCCATATACAGCAATGTGGAGCTTCACGTACATTTCCAGCCGGTTTTCCACACCATTTGGGCCCAGCCCTTAATGCCGTAACGGTACATCGTGTACGGGGTAAACATGATGTTCAGCAGTACATAGTTGAAGAAAGTCTGGAAAGCCGGAATCGAGGTGCCTCTATCTGAAAGGAGTGTACTGAAAGTACTAGTAGCTGTATTCGTGATTGCCAAGATCTGTCTGTAGGACGTAAGCTACTGGCCGTCAAGACCAAGGAACCAGAAAATGTCGCAACTTACCCAAGTATCAGAATGATATAGAACTCCTTTGTCGTAAAATACGCAAGGAAGCCTTTCTTTTTCTTGTCGATCTGGTCCGCAGGAGCCTCCTCGGAGGCAGAGTCCGCTTCACGGACATTTGCATCTACACCCGCCGAAGTACCATCCTTCGGAAATTGGGCAATCGAGGAGTTATCGTGCGGAGTTGCGGCCGACGCTTGAACGGTAATTTGATCTTTGGCATCCGACATAATGAGACCAGCGTACTGACTGTCCGAGTAGTTCTGAGAAGGTGAAATTAAACGTTGTCGAGAGTGGTTCTCGCAGGGTCGAGATAGTGGGGTATGGGTTGATAAGCGTGAATGGGAGCTTTTGAAGACCTGAACGAGCGCAAAACTCCCGGAAGTCGCTCGCCTATGGTCTCTGAATGTATCAACTCGGAAGAGGTGAAGACAAAGTTGTGTAGAAAAGAGGAGAGGAGGGAAGAGAAAAAAAAAAACTCGTGGGCAAAGGTCCAGGCGGCGGAGGAACTGAGCCTATCCTGATTGGGGAATTTTCGCCAGTGGCCCCGTCAATTGGACGATGTCCGCTCGGGAGGCCTCGTGGAAGTCCTGACCAATCATTGCCACGGCTACCCCACTGTGTAATTAGCTAATTTCAATGCGAGTGGATGGGGCGGATCTGTCCGACGCCAGTCCATCCTTGGCAACCAATCAGCGAATGGGAAGCCCGGCAGTTTGGCGGGCGGAAGAACAGAGCACACACCTTATATCCCGATGGAAAAACGCTCAGACCCCAACATTCCATTAACAAGGTAGTTACCAGTGTGCCACTACTACTAATCCTGGTCGCGATCACTGGTGATGAGCATGCTGCAGAGCTCTCTATAGGTGAGGAGCTACCCATTACAAGCAAGGGAGAAAGTGCGAACGCTGTGCTTGCGTGGATTAGTCGGTCAAATTCTGTACACAATTTGCTGAACTTGCGCTAAGCATCATCATGGATCGCTTGCCCGCAAGGAAAGCCAACCATATGCTTCACCGTTCATTTGTCGCAAAATGTCAAGGAATCCTGTCCAGGATAGAAGGCAACATGCTATGATATCATTTCGGCATGTTCACATGACCTGAATGTTGATACCTCAGGCCACAAGTAATAGACTTTAAATTAAGGTGGCAATGACCTCATCGGCTGCAGTCCCGCTTTTTTCTGGAAAAAGCCATAGCTTGAACCTTGAAGTCAGAAGAATTTTTGAAGTGATGGCAAGGGGGTATATATTATTGGGTATCGTCTTGAGTATCAGTCTGGCAGCTCCTTCAGGAACGACAAAACTCACCCCGCTATCTTTCTTTCCCCATCCCTTAGTGGTTGTTTAAGATGGGAGGAGACTCGTGTTCAAAAGACTTAATGTAACTCTGGTCTTTTGGCCAGCGAAAGTAAAGATGTTTGAGAGTGGTAGGGAAGTAGGGTGATGATGGACAGAGGTAGTGGTAATAGTAGATGCCCTGTGCATGCTTAGACGTAAGCCACCATCAATGATAAGCATTCACGGATACAACTAGTATATGCAACGTGAGATGCTATGTTTCAAAACATCTTGTTCAAACAATTCAGTTCTTCCGTGCTGGATAACTTGAAACCCCACTAATGGCCATTGTGAATCTGAGTTGTCCCATTGAGGTTCCATGGGTAAAGCGGGGAAAGGATTTGGGTTGGGGAAGTTTCCAAAAAGAGAGACCTACCCTGCTATTCTTAGCTGACAAGTAAAGTTCTATATAAGGCAGAACGGGAATAGCCTTTAATCGACATGGCCTAGGCCGTCTTTACTCTATTTTACCCACCCCTGAGCAATGTCTGACAATACATACATACACATAGGCACATCTTAATTATGCACAATATATGATACTCAGTCCTGTTGGATCTAATATTATATATATTGCATAGCTATAATTAACTGAGGAACCATTATAGTTGTAAATCATAGGTTAAATGTACTGTACTATCGACATATACTCCGTACACATACATGAATCATGGAGATCGTCTTCTTTAATTTCCCTCAGGGAAGCATGCTTCATGTTTGTGCTTACTTTATTTCTATTGTTTTGAATTTATACCATTTTCCGAGATGGTTTCTATTCTGGTGCTGGTGTGAATACCGCGGGTGCACGTCATTTCATCCACTCATTGCCTTGCAGATCCCCGTAGTCTGCCGGCTTCTCTCCTTTCTCGAAACCACCTTGTTCGATCAGTGCTTCAAACTATCCTCCTTTCACCTTAAACCGGGGCCCCCCAGATATACTTGGCTCTTTCTTATCTTCTTATTTACTGGTTTTTCTTTTCTTTTCCTGATTATTTGTAGAAAGTAGATCCGGAGATTTTCAACAATCTCGACGCTGAACCCCACACCCGATCAGGCAAGGGTTGGGTACCTTAAATCAATACGGCAGTTTCAGCTCTTTTGGTGTTCGTCCCTTTTTCGGTCGCGTGTGCTTGTGCTGGTTTTGATTTTCCAGTTTTGCGCGCCGCCAACCCCAAGAGTTAATTAAAAAACAAAAGAGAAGAAGAAAAATAGCGGCCGACCGCTACCGAGGCCGTCAGGTGGTCCCGACCCAAACTCAGATCATCTTTCATCATTCGCAGCAGAAGCAGCAAAGTGTGCCATCCCCGTTATCACCTGTGACCTATTCGTCTTTCCGATCCGTCCTTCTTTCTCATCATCCCCATCACAATTCTTTTCCCCCCATCATACTTCTTCCATTTAATCCCGTCCGCAACCCCTCGTCCAATCCGGACAAGGCAGCGGTTCACTCTTACCCTTCCCGCAACTTCGGGCCTCTCTGCGCGCCGGTGCACTCGTTCCTGAGTTGTCCCGGAGTGACGAGACGCCACCTCCCCCCTGTTGCCAGATCATGGCGTTGGAGGTGCAACCGCCCAGCGATCGCAAACGAGTCAAGGTCTACGAACTGAGGGATAACGACTGGTTTGATAGAGGTACTGGTTTCTGTACTGGTCAGATCCTGGACGTAAGTTTCATCGCATGGGGGATCGTCCGTCCAGCGCGACATCGGTCGTCGGGCGCAAACGCTACGGGTCGCGCTTTCTCAAACATTCATCCCGGTCGCTGACATCCCCACTCTATCTTCCTGCAGGATGAACCGCGAATATTTGTCGAATCTGAAGATGAACCCGAACGGGTACTTTTGGAGACAAAAATCTCCAAAGACGACGGGTACCAGAAACAGCAAGGTTCCACTCTCCCATCGCCCTCCGCATCGCAAACTCAAACAGGGAAGATACTAACGTTTGTGCGACACTACCAGAGACCCTGATAGTATGGACGGAACCCAATGGGACGGATATGGCATTGAGCTTCCAGGAGCCTGAGGGTTGCGCCGTGATTTGGTAGGATATCGCTTGGACATTGTGACTCAGTGTCCTTTTCTCTTGGCTGACAACGATCGCGAAAGGAATTTTGTCAATGGCGTTCAACAACACCTTACGAACCTGGCAGCAGCAGGTAAACACCCGGCATTCCTATTGCGTCTGTCATTGGCAAATTGGTGGACTATCGTTACTGACCAGGGGCTCTTCCCTAGACGATGCCTTTTCCGACGATCTCGAAACATATCAATCTATAATGCTACCCGCCCCGGAGCTCGGAAACCTCCCCGAAATTGACCATGTCATGAGAGCAGCCAGCATGACACAAGCCGGCCGAGACGCATTGTCGAAGTTTGTTATTCGGGAAGAGTATATAACAAAGCTCATACCATTGGTCACAGTGGCAGAAGATCTCGAGAGCCTGCCGGACCTACACCGTCTCTGCAATATCATGAAATCCCTCATCCTTCTCAATGACAACACCATTATCGAGACCGTCGTTACGGACCCCATTATTCTAGGAGTTGTGGGGGCGTTGGAATGTACGTGACATGGGGTTTGTTGTGTTATTGTGCCATTGCTGATGAAATCCCAGACGACCCCGAGTTTCCGACACACAAAGCCAACCATCGGCAATACCTCGCAGACCAGTCACGCTACAAAGAGGTGGTCCCGATTAAAGACGCCCTCATCCGTCGCAAAATCCGGTACACCTGGCGCTTGCAGTATCTAAAGGATGTGGTCTTGGCCCGGATCTTAGACGACCCAACTTTTTCAGTCCTCAACTCGTTGATCTTTTTCAACCAGGTCGAGATCGTAAATCATATCCAGTCAAACGGCCCCTTCCTGAAGGAATTATTTACGGTGTTTGATCCGAGAAATACCGATGCAAAGCGCAAGGAGGATGCAGTGCAGTTCCTCCATCAATGTGCATCCATTGCCAAAAACCTGCAAGCCCCGGCGCGCGCCAATCTCTTCGCAAACTTCATTAGCCATGGCCTTTTCGCTGTGATCGCCTTCGCTATTAAGCACCCTAACCCCGCTATGCGCACGACTGGAATTGATATTCTAGTTGCACTGCTTGACCATGATCCTCTCATGATGCGGGGTTATATGCTCAAGGCCGTCAATGAGAAGAAGACGCCGCTGACTGATACGTTGATTGATTTACTTCACTTAGAGTCGGATCTCGGTGTTAAAAATCAACTCGCAGATGCAGTCAAGGTTCTATTGGACCCCCAGATTCTTTTGCAAGACACGATGGGTCGGGCTGGACCCGAACAGTACTCGAAGCCACGTCCTAATATTCTCTCTGATGCTTTTGTTCAAAACCACTTTGATGAGTCTGCAAAGAGGCTATTCATGCCATTAAAACGCCTTGAGAACCGCGCCAGCCGTAAGTATTGTTGGTCTACATTAGCTTCAGTCTGTTCACGCGGCTAATTCTCTTTCACTTCTTTAGTTAGCGACCTCAGGTTTCAAGAGGTGGCCTTGTATGCCCATCTTGTTGATATCCTTACTTTCTTCGTCCGTCAACATCTGTACAGAAGTCGTGCTGTCATCCATAATGAAGCACTCGCTCCCAGAGTTGCTCAGTTACTTACAGTGCCCCAGAAGCACCTCAAGCTGAGTAAGTTGACCTATTCAAAATCGTGTACAGAAGTTTCTATCTAACTGCTTGCCTTCGCCAAAGTCGCATTGAAATTTTTCCGTACATTAATTAGCCTCCAAGACACATTTTACCAAGCTCTGATGACACATAACAACACGTTTGGTTTGATTCTTGACATTGTCTATGAAACAATGCCACGCGATAACCTCCTTAATTCAGCTTGCCTCGAACTTTTCGAATTCATCAAACGTGAAAATATCAAACCGATAGTTCTGCATGTCGTTGAAAAATACGGTGAAAAGCTCAAGAATATTACCTATGTCAACACATTCCAGGACTTGATCCTACGCTATGAGCAAATGCAGGGCTATGGTACAGAAGCTGAGTCAACTCTCTACTCTCAAGATGAAGGTACAACAGCTCGTCGAGTGCCGCCCAACGGACAACGTTGGCAGGGTGTTAGGGAGATGGATGCGGCAGAGGAAGAGTATTTCAACACATCTGATGATGAGGAAGAGGTAAGACAATTTATACTCATTATTAATGATTACCAATCAGTGTGCTGATCTTTTTTGCTAGTGGCAACATGACAATGCGGCCAATGCAACAATGGCTCCTCAGATGCAGAACGGTTCCGCCTCGCCAGTGGTCAAGCCTCTAGTCGACTATCCAGATGACGATGAGGATGACGATGCTATGGACACGAAGCCGGAGGATAGTGAGGAGCAGAAGCAGCAACAGTTGGTACGGCAAGAAGGCACCCCAACCCTTGACGCCGCTACCGACTCCATTGTGGACGCACCGTCGACTCCGGTTTCATCGACAGTGCAGACGCCTCCGGAGCGTCTGTCAGAGAAGCGCCGGCGTGAAGAGGAGGACGATGATGAGCTGGTTAAGCTCAGTACTGGACCGAAACGAAGGAGCTCAACCAGTGGCAGTCCTGGGGGTGCTAGTATGCTGCGAAAGAAGAGGAGCGTGTCAATTGGGTCGCTCTCAGCTGCTACTGAAAAAGGGGCAACTCAGAGTATTTTGGGAACCGTGACTGGCAGCACAGCACCCAAAAGGATAGCCATCAATCTTAGCTCTAAACCGTCATCAGAGACGGATTCCACTGACTCTGCCGCAAGTACACCAAGCAGTGAGAAAGAGAACCGTGGCGAGAACCACGGTGAAAGTGGTTAGCTATACTCCCGTGATATTTCTCCTGCCATTCATGGAATTCGCATGACTGGGTTTCCCCGCAAGCATCGTCCTCGTTTGTCCGAGTACTTGGAGTTCTACCTGCATTTCCCGCGAATCTCCTAGATACCAGATGAAGTAATGGTTTAGTCTTTTTCATTTCTTCATTTTCCCTTTACTGATTCACTGCATATCTCTGTATGATTCCCTCATCCTTTGCTATACATCTTTGTGCTTTTCTTTTGGCATTCTTAGATATCATGTATTAGGTTTCTACTTGCTCTGAAGCCTGCGATTTCCGTCTTGTTCTTACCTTCTCATCGTCGAAATTTTGGCCTGGTGTACAGCTACCATGTCCTGTTTGTTTCTTTCTCCAATCTTGTTTTATTTGAGTGTCCTTCCTTTGCGCACCTCATGGTTCATTTGCACTGTCAATGCGTGGCGAAAAAAACAAAATGATATGCAATCAGAAGCGAGGAAGTAGCGCGCATGCTGCCGGCCTCTTGCGTCTGATGGTCGGTGTTATTCCACCTGGGTCTTTGGCATAACTGGAGCTTTCTGTATTGTTCTTCGGTCTATCTATGGGGTTTAAGGAGCTCTGGTTGATAGGGATGGAGTCTGGCTGGATGCGATGAATTGCGATGAATCACTGTGTGCGTATGCCTGCATTTCAGAGGTCTTGGTATGGAGGATTTCGTTTCTTTCTATTCCTTATCATGATTGGGAATGTTTGATGGAGCGGGTTGTCGAGAGAGTTGATATTTGCATTCTTCTGAAGAGATATTAGTGCACATACTTGTCGGCACAGTAACTCGCTACCTTCATAACGAACCGCGTCTCTGAACTATTGTTGAGAACGACATATCGTATCCAAATGTCTTAAACTTTGTAATAGAGTGTTGGTATAGGTAATTTGTAGCTTGATGATGAAATCTAAATCGGTGCCGAGGCATGGCGGGAACTCCGATTTCTCCGAATCAATTTATCGAACTCCATACCCTTTCTATAAGTGAATTCCACTCATGTACCACCTCAGATATGCCAATTCGACACGCATAGGCTATAAAAATATATTAAAAGCCTCGACATTAACCCGAAAGTGCCTGACCACTATGTCTTCCACTCGACAACCCCATATTTCTGCGGACAGCTTCTTCCACACATCGTCCGCATCCGACCCATCACTAGCTCCCATCACCATCTATATGATATCAGGCAACCCAGGCCTCATTGGGTACTACCACACGTTTCTCTCCGTTCTCTCAGACAAGCTAAACACACAATCCACACAACAGACAAGAAAAAGCCATGCCTTCCAGATCTACGGACACAGTCTTGGAGGATTCGAGCTTACCAAAGCACCAGGCTCTAAACCCAGATACTATGACCTGGAAGAACAGATCTGTTTTGTCCAAGACAAGCTAGACGAGTTTCTCACCAACTCCAGCAAAGCATCAAACGGGGTCCCATCACCAAGACCAAAAGTGATTCTCATCGGCCATTCGGTGGGCAGCTACATAGCCATGGAGCTCCTACGGAGACATCGTGAGCGCTCGACCAGTGGTACATCGCCTTCTGTTGATTTCGATATCATCGGCGGCGTTATGCTGTTTCCCACTGTTGTTGATATTGCGAAGTCGCCTTCCGGGCAGAAGTTGACGGTGAGTATACATTGTCTATTTCTTTTACTGGGCTGTTTGAAACCCATAGGCTAATCGGATCTATCGCAGCGCATGCTATCTGTTATCCCGCAGCTGGCTGTTGTAGTGGGCTTCTTCGTCCGCATCCTGACGGCCCTGCTTCCGGGTAGTCTTTTACGATCTCTGATTAGGTTCTATATGGGGTCGCCGCGGGATAACATGGTCGAGACTACGGCTGCTTTCTTGGAAAGCGGGTATGGTGTGCAGCAGGCTTTGTATGTTTCCTCTATTTTCTAGTGGGAAGTGTGTTGAAGAGGGGTTGAAAGTATTCTAACAGGGCTTTAGACACATGGCTGCCGATGAGATGCAGACTATCACATCGGATAAATGGAGTGACGACGTGTGGGGCATGTCGGACGTCAAGGATCCGGTTACTCGATTGTTCTTCTACTTTGGCCGGAATGATCATTGGGTTGCGGAGCGGACGAGAGATGAGGTGGTTGAGTTGAGAGGGCAGACGGAGCGTGGTCCGAAGATGGTTGTTTGTGAGGAGGGGCTGCCGCATGCTTTTGTTTTGAGTGAGTTCCTTTCCCTGTCTCCTTGTTTTGAGGTGTTTGGAGGTGGGGTTTGCTGATGTAGGTGGTTTGTAGAACATAGCGACGTTGTGGCGAAGAAAGTGGCCGATATGGTGTTGGATATAGTCCAGGATTGATGGAGCTTGGAGGGATGGTTTGTTGTTGGTGATTCTATGTCGGGGTAATTATAGACTTGCTCTTTAGATTTGACAAGGGGTATTTAGACAGGATATGCTTCTTTATATCACCTTGTCTCTAATTTATATTATAATGCAGGGTTGTCTGTTGTTTCATTGGAGGGAAACTGCGCTCATTGTGCAAATATCATGGGTATCGCAAGTGTCATGACATTAGGCCCCTAACAGACATCTCTTGGACAATGGCGGGGGCTCCTCGATCATGGACCCCCCTGGTACGCTAACCCGGCCCTCCTAAATAGATCGCCTAGTACATCTTGTTGCGGTTGTGGCTGCGGCTGCGCCATCGGACCACTCATCCCAGGCTGGGGCCATCCCTGGGGACCAACATGGTGCGCCGTTGTGCTCCATCCATCATCCTGGGCCCTTTGTTGCCCAAAAAGATCCCTCAAAGAGACCTGACGACCCATGGCAACACTTGATTGCACCTCGTCCACGGGGTCAGCCGTAGAAGCCGCAGCCGCGGCTGCAGCGTGCAGCCCATTCTGGCGAGTAGCTTCCAGTCGCTCGCGGGCCAGCTTCAAACTTTGACCTGCATGTATGGCGCATTCCCGAATCACCTGGGCATTGATACTGCGCGTTTCGGCCGTAGAGTTGGGAGGGGGTTCGGAGTAAATCCAAAGACCGTATATGCGAAGATCGGCGCTTTTCCCATTCATGCCGTTATTATTATCCACACCCAACCCGGAGTCATTGTCGACCTTGAGAATCACATATTCCTCCGTAATTTCCACATTATCCCCTTCCGTCAGAGGAACATCGAAATTATGCAGACCCCGCCGATTCAGGACGAAGACGTTGTATCGTTCTTCGCCTAGAGACCCCTGCGATAACTGACAAACGAACAGTGAGCCCTCCACTCCGCTCTTTTCCCACTGCCGTGTGGTTGGGCTGAATATGTAGATGACGGCGTACGGCGCTAGGGAGAGAATTGAAGTTATGGCGGGGTTGTGACGGCGGAGGACGGAGAGGTTCAGCTCTTCGTTTGAGCGGACTGGGGGAGGTGGCATGTTGATTTCTTGTTGTTGGGTATCTGAGAAATAGTTCTGATAGTCTGATTCGTAGTCCGAGGGTTGAGGCTGATTGTGACGGTGATTGTTGTTGTTTTGCCGTCGGGGTCTGCGGGTTGTCATTATGAAGCTTAAGGAAGAGGAAGAGGAGATAAATATGGGCTGCTTCTGGCAGGGGTTAAGAGAGCCAAGGGACAGTAGTTATCAAGTGAATGAATTAACAGGGAATCAATAATAACAAGTGTTGGTATGGAGGAATGAGCGAAAGTCGCAAATAAGCTCGGGTGATTTAAATGGATGAAATCGTAGCTCCGTTCTAGGAAGCGGTCGGCAGCCCCACGGGCTTTCGTCAGAGCGAAAGCACAGCTGACGATAAATGATCCACAACCACTTCTGCTTCCTCCTGATCCTTTCAGTCCAATTCAATCATTAGGCTCGATATTTGTCTAATTTTGTGTCTACTGCCCAATCTTTCGCTTCGAAGACGTCTCGGCGTTATCTGGCTTCGGCGCGATCCTCTTATCGTTGTCGTCATTCATATCGGCTCATACCTATCCTACTGGCGGGCAAACCCACTCCTCTTGACTGTCTCTTATACTTCCCGCCAGTGAGGCGCGTGATATTCGCACAGGCACTTGGCATTTAACTGGCTCTATCAGCAATTACTGTACTGTCGTAATGACCCTCTGATCGCCCCGCCTCGCTCCAATTGATCATTGTCCTACTCACACTGGCTGCTGTTGAAAAGCTGCCAAAGCACAAGGTGAACGCTTAATTTGCGGATTACCGAGGGGTTTCGGGCCTCTATAGAATGCTCTGCAGCAGGCGATAACCAATCTTTCTATTATAACTGATTCCAGTATTTCTCTTCAGCATGGTGTCAGATACCGAACAGCGCGCGCCGCAGTCGCCGGTCGGTGCCGGCGCAGGTGACTCGCACTCTGACGGATCGTCTCCTGATGCCTCCCTCGACCCCTCATCGCTCCCGCAGGCCGTTAAAGCGAGGAAATCCGAGTATATAACTCAACAGTCTATTCGGGTCAAAGTTGGAACGTGGAATGTGGCTGCCATTCAAGGTACGGAGGAAGATATCGGAAAGTGGTTTGTTCAGCGGGAGGGGATATGCGAACAGCTCGCCGGGTTACGAGTCTCCGGCCTAGAAGAAGCCCCTGCTAAAACGGGTGATGATCACCCGAATGAATCTGGATCTGAGTTCGATCAGGTAGGACTCTACGTTCTTGGGTTACAAGAGATTGTGGATATATCTTCCCCGGCGGAGGCCCTGAGGCCCTACGTTGATCCAGCGCCAGCGAATAGGTGGAAAGCTGCGATGCAGAATGCCTTACCGTCAGGCTACCAATTAGTCGCAGAGTCGCAACTGGTAGGGCTGTTGCTGTTGATTTACGCCTCTCCTTCTGTTGCCGAGACTGTCTCGTCGGTCAGTTGTGCCAATGTAGGCACAGGCCTGTTCGGGTACATGGGAAACAAAGGCGCTGCAGTAACGCGCCTGATGCTGGGTGAGACTACGTGTCTTGTCTTCGTCAACTCTCATTTGGCAGCTGGGTCGGATAAAACCAGCCTGGAACGACGGAACTGGGACGCCTCCCAAATTCTCCAACGCACAAAGTTTGACCCGATCGATACTGAAAGTGCACTTAGGGATGAGCCCACCGAGAGTATAGGCAAAGAAGACTTCGCTTTCTGGTTTGGTGATCTTAATTATAGACTAGAGGATATACCTGGAGATGACGTGCGTCAGGTCCTTGCTCGACATACAGAGAACGAGTACGATAAAACGCACAACTCTACACATGTGGCTGATGAAGAAGATTCAGAGGAGTCACCAAAACGGACGGATGAGACAAGTAGAGCTCCTCCGCCCGTTTCCGATGAGGACGTGGACCCCCACACAGACCCTGCATCTTTGCAAACTACAATATCGTCTTTACTTCCGCATGATCAGCTTCGCCTTCAACAAAGCAAGCAGAAGGCGTTCCACGAAGGATGGAGGGAAGGTAGCATATCCTTTCTGCCAACGTACAAGTATGATGTAGGAAGCGTCGCCAAATTCGATTCTAGTGAAAAGCAACGGGGTCCTAGTTGGTGCGATAGAATTCTGTATCGGACACGGAGGGATATGTTAAGGCATGAACAGTTAGCCAAGGAAGCAGATGAAGCCAGGAAACGGGACGAAGAAATGAAAGCTAGGGGACTAGATAAGGCTGCAGCAGATGACAACGTTCTATTCGACTATGATCCTGATGTTGATGGCGCAGACAGTGCAGACGAATACGACCCCGATAAAGATGACGCGAGTGACGATGCTTCATTCAGCTCGCAGAGTGATCCGGACCAATCACTTAGACTTGACTATTATATTTCGCATCAAGGAATCCTCTCATCTGACCACAAGCCTCTAGCAGCCGGCTTCACTATAACCTATGAATCGGTTGTCCCTCAACTCAAGGCCAAGATTCACCAGGAAGTGGTCCGAGAGCTGGACAAAGCTGAAAATGAGTCTCGACCAGGTTTGACGGTAGTGGTGGACAGCCACGGCCATGAGCCCAGTAAGGAGAAGACGAACGATCCAAATGCACTGGATTTTGGTGAAGTGCCATTTGATGTATCCGTCGCTCGATCTTTGACAGTTGCGAACACTAGCGGCGTGCCTGCAACTTTCTCATTCGAAAAGCCCGAACAAGGAGAAGGCTGTCATTATCACCCGTCTTGGCTTGAATATCAGATCGAACCGCCGCACCGCAACAACCCTGAAGATCAACCATCTACGTTACCTTTGCAGGAGTGTACATTACTGCCTGGAGAACTTACCAATATTCAAGTTACTGCATGCGTCAAAGATATACAGCTTGCACGTTTGCTCAATGACGGAAAGTTGAGCTTAGAGGAAGTTTTGGTCCTTCGGGTGACCAACGGCCGAGATCATTTCATCCCTGCATATGGAGAGTGGTTGCCCACCTGCTTTGGTCGCAGTTTGGAAGAACTTACCGTCATGCCGGAAGCGGGTGCGCGCACATTGCCCGCTACAGATATGACGAGACGTCAGAAGGACGAAGTAGGAATCCCTCTGTCAGCTCCGCGGGAGCTTTTCCGCCTGACGGAATCAATATCGGAGTTGTCCGAACGTGCTATTGCCGAATGGAGCATGATCAGAGGCGAGTCGGAAGACTCTCCACCGTGGGTTAGAGAGCCACATGGGTTTGCATGGCCGTTCGAACCAGAGTCATGGACTCTGACAGACAAAGAAGAGCGTTCTCACCTCTTGGCAGCTATTCGGGAAGCTTTGGACACTAACAAATCCTTCAACCATGTCATTCCACCCGAAGTATCCTCGCTTCACCGTCTGGAGATCTTAAGCGAGACCTTACTGGTATTTCTTAGATCTTTGAAAGATGGGATAGTCACTGCTCCCGTTTGGTCTGATCTAGATCAGCAAATCCTCGCCCGTGAAAAGACAAAAGCGCCGCCTTTATCCTGGGAAGAATCCCAAGCCTGGGTACTAGAGAGCCTAGCATATTCCCCCGCCCACAGCGTCTCCTTCACTTTCGTCACCTTCATGCTTGCTCGCATCGCCAATGAAGTCGCCCCAGTAACATCCATGCCCCCACGACACTCTTCCGAAAGGCAGTCCGACGAGCAAGCCAACCCCAATAAACAACCCACCACACCAACCGCAACAGCAGCCGCAGCAGCAGTCGCAGCCGCAGGCAATCTCCGACGGCGAACCCTCACCTTCACCTCAAACGCACCAGAACCGGCCGTCAATCCTCTCGCTGTTCGCCGCCAAGCCGTCGAAGCCGCCCTAGCGGGTATATTCTCCAGTGTCCTTATCTCCGCCAACGTCCCTGTCCCAGCAAAGGACAAAGAAGCGCGAGCACAGAAGGACCGGAAACGAAGTATAATTGAGCCTTTCTTGAAGACCATCGGGGTTGACAATAAAGGTCCCTCCGGTGGTTGGTCTTGAGCTCTTATACAGTGCTTGTCTCGTATATATGCGCCTGGATGTGTATTTTCCTTTCCTTTGATAATCTAGGATATACTGTAATACCTATAGATTCGAGCTGGGTTCTGTATGCATTGTGTTGTATTATACTACTTCTTTTTATAACCTTTAGACTATTCGACGGTAACTACTAGAGACGTCATCTGGACGATGCGTGTATGGAACATGTGTTGCGGCGTTTGGTATCATAAACGTCTTAGTAAGTATTGTATAGTCGGCGACAGTATGCTATATAACTATACACTTCTAACTATTGCCTGAAGCCAAAGAAGGCCGCCGAGAACAATAGAAAGCAATGCTTAATTAGAATATCCCATTCTTCCCCATTCCAACACACTGGAATCAACTTGGTCGGAAATACTCACGCGGTAGTAATGGATAAAGAAGTAGAGACCGTCTTCGGATATCAGTCATTCTACATTTACTATCAGCACTGTAAGAACATGTATACTATAATCACACCGCGACGAATAAACGATCATGTATATTCGCGAATGGATTTTAGTCCTTGTGTCTCTGCAGAGTCTTGCTGGGGTACTCGTCTTGGGCGTTTCGGGGACCGCGCTTTACGGTCTTGCGGTAGCTTGCCTTTCGCAAGTTTTGGTTGTGGGTTTGCTTTCGAAAGAAAAATATCCTGCACAAACCGCAGGCACCGTCTCGCGACATGAAATGGCAGTACAGCCAAGGACGCGAAGACCTGAGCAGGGAGCATAACAAGCGTATAAAGCCACTCGAGCAGCAGGAGCACAGAATTCTTCGGTTTCCGTACGTTGGAACGCTGCGCAGCAGCAACTAGAGAAATAGCATCCCGGACCTGACCCTCTAGCGCTTCGATTCTGGAGTCCGTCTGGAAGGAAGTCATCGCGGTACGTTTCTCGTAGCGTCTCACGGCGCGGTTCAGGGCATCGATGTCCGGTTGGACCGATTTCCGCACTTCTGTTGTGGTATGTGAGACGAGGGAGTCTTGCGCTTGGGGCTGCAACTGTTCCTGGCTAGGGGCGAGGCGCGCCGCAGCTGCTTCTGCTATGTGGGCTTCGAGCTCTTCCAGTCGTTTGGAGAGGTCGATTATCTTACTGGCGTCTATTCTGTCTTTGGGGGGTTCGGTGGATGATGCGACGACGCGCTGGAGATGGAGCGTGCGCGCTTGGACCATTCGTAATAGATGGGCGAAGGGTCTGATCTCCGATGCTAGGAGGAATATGGTTAGGTTGTAGTTCGAGACTAAGCCCTCTGAGGGTCGAGACAGCTTGGATCGGATTCCGTGTAACAACCATGTTCCGATGAGCGGGAAGATGAAGCACGAAGCCAGGGCGACGATTTCGTGGATTTGCAATTCCCTACTGGCGGCGCTGGCTGTTTCGGTTGCACGTTGTTTTGCTGGGACTGAGTCTGTTTTTGCATCCTGGGTGTGGTCGATCTCTATGTCTACGGGGATTTCGTTCGCATCGTAGAATTTGTCTTGTCGGATCGCTTGGGCGGAGCGATACCAATCCCTGACATACTGGTTAGCCGGGGAAAATGAGGTGTAATCAATCGTATGGGCCTGTCTTACCATGGCAGTCTGACAGACCAGTTTAAAAAGATGGCTGCTAACACCAGCAGAGTAACGTCTGTTACGACGGCGCTTCCGTTCTGAAAAAATACCCCCGCGATGGCAGGCAGGAGGGCGAGGCCCAAGGGTGCAGAATGCCAGTGCGACTCTTCATTGGACGCATCCGCAGCGTCGAAGGAACCCTTGGCTGCGCGCGGGAAGAATAGGTCGTCAGTGGAGGATCGGATGGAATTCCGTGCTTCGGAGACCGAATCTGAGAAGGTCGAGTTGCGTCGTTCATTTTTTAGATTTGATGAACAACCCTCTGCGAAGGTGGCAGAGCGGGCCGGGCCTCGCTGGCGAAGATTCATGGAACCGGGGGAATGGGCGCGGGGATTACTAGTCTGATTGTTCTGGAAGGGAGAAGCTGATGGTCGCATGACTGAGGAACCAGGAGGAGGAGGGTCGGCTTGACAATTGGTGGACCATATTCCGATCTGCTGTGGTCGAGATCCTGAGTATGAGAGGAAAGTTGCAGCCAGGATGAAATGAGAGAAAAGGAAGGGTAGGGAGAGAGTAGTGTGCCTCAGGTCGTGAAAGGATCCTCAGGTTCAGCCATGATTGAATCATGTGTAGGTCACGTACATACATCCATACGGAGTACAGTACGGTACCTCATCGCATCACTTGCAGATCCCTTCTTACCCTTTTCCGGCAAAGCCAAGACGGGGTCGAGTGGAGTAGTTCGTGACTCAAGCCCCAATCACTAATCTTCAACCCCAATTCAATTGCGGAGAGAAACTGTATTATACCGAGGATGACGCTATGTGCCAAGAGATACCTTCAGCTGAATGACGATCCTGCATGTATGTATGTACAGTATTCTTACACATACCAGATTTCCTCCAATAACCTCAATTTGTCTGATCTACATGCAGCCGCTTCAGTAAGGGTACTCAAGGCCCTGCTCAGTAAATGTCTTGTATTATATGCTACAGTCGCGAGGGATCGCAATGCAAGTATATACTCTAAGCGAAACAAAAGCTCCACATTGTTATCAAAGCATCCAATAACCAGAATGCCAACTTAACAGAGAGATGGTTCAATTGATTCAGCCCACTCTGGCGCAACTCAGATCGCGATTTCAAGTGATACTCTGATTGCGGTAAGTATTCCAGGTACTCTGACTCGGGACTAATGTCGGATATGTAACTGATTACCTGCTCTCCATGGAAGGACCCGATATAGAGGCCAAGGGCCTTGAACCAAGGCCCAGAAAAAGCTTCACAGCGAGCCAGAATCCACGAATACGCGTAAAAGCGTCTCATCCTCTGCTTTCTGGACTCTTCCCATGCCTCTAGGCCCATATCCTCCTCAGGGTTATCTGGGCGTGCACAGGATCTGTATCGGTCAACAGTGCGGATGATACGATTGGCTAGCGAGGCAGAGCTTTCAATTGCGCAATTGGCGCCTTGGGCTAGGTTTGGTGTCATCTGCCAGGTTTCATTGTAAATAACATACTCAAGTAGCTGGGAGGTATAGCGAAAGAAATTGAGCCAGACCTTGTGAACAGAGTCCCCAATACACACAAGCTTACCTGCAGCCCATTGCTCACAGAGAAATTCCTCAAGGGCGACGTGACAACATGTGATTGCATTACAGTACAGTTCTTCAAATCGAACATCCGAAGAGACATGCGCACCTAAAAATGGGGAGACCTGCTGGTCGATTGATGCCCGGTCTTGCGAATGGCGCGGTATATCAGGGTAACGGTGCACCTTCCCGGCATGGAACGATAGTAACCAGAAGATGTTCTCTTTTCCAATGTTGACTATGAAGGAGAATCCATTTCCGTACGTGCGATGCGCGTGGCCTGGAGACAGCCCCGGAACAGGATGCGAGATGCCATATATGCCGGAGTATTCTGAGGTCAAGCCTGAAACTCTGCTCAGCTAACATTGAGGTGGGATAGGTATGATGCTGCTACTGACCTTCAAGTGTCTTCCTTGGATCTTGTGATGCTTTCAAGGACCCAGTACACTTCAGGATCTCGCCACGTGAGACACTGTGGATTCCATCGGCGCCAACGACCAGGTCTCCAGTAAATATGGAGCCGTCGGCGCATTCCACTTTGGCCTGTCAAGAGCTCTGATTCAAAGCCATAATGCACTTACCAAAAAGCACGCGATGTTTATCTTCGAGGCTATTATAGAGAATTTGCAAAAATCTCCATCGTGGGATGACTGCTAGGTTATAACCATGCCTAGTCAGGCTTTAGACATACCCAATCACAAGTCGCACAAGGAAGGCATACCTCATGGAAAGGAGTCTTTCTACATCAATCCTCTTTAACAAGCTTCCATCCTCAAGGAAAGTCGAATGACTGTGGATTGTATCTGATGCCGCCGCGATTTCTTCCCACACCCCGAGTTGTGCTAGTATCCGTGATCCACTGGGAAGCAAGGTGAAAGCATTTCCTGTAAACGGTAGTGGTAGGTGATCGTGAGCCTCAAGGATAGTATAGTCAATTCGCCGCTTGGCCAGAGCGTGGGCTAGAGTGAGACCAGCCACAGAGCAGCCAATTATTATGACACGCAGCGCATGATCCTGTCTGCACGACGACGACCTCATATTGAGCCAAGCATACAATAGGGATGGAGCTTGATGTTGGTTCTTTCCGAAGCATAATTGAGGAGAAGATTGGATTTAGTTACAAAAGAGAAAGACGAATATGAAATCACAGGGCAACGAGAACAGTGAATTTGCCGTTCCCGCTACCTCCTTCAAACACATATAGAGTCCTTCACATTAAATCTGGTCCTTCTGGATGTCTGAGCGAATAATTTGCTTCTCGGCTCCACATACCCTTGTTCACTAGCCACACCATCGCTCTTCACAGCAGCAACGACTACTGCATGACTAGATTCACGTCTTGCCAATCAAGCTCAACAAGTTTGGGCCTCGTGAACGGCATCTTACGGAGCACAGAAGGAGGATATATTAAGTGATACCTCTCAGATAGACTGTGAATGCTGTATATGGTATACCAGTACATTCCTGTGATATGCCTCTTTAGTTCCACCCCAGGCTAGAGTTAATGATCTCGTTGATGTGAGTGACTGGTTTAATTCCATGAATCATTGAGACAGTGGCTTACATTCAACAAAGGTGTCTGTAACTGATTAAAATAGCCCTATAATCTTCTTCACCGATTTATAAACCCCTGTGCTAAGCATGAAATTTGTTCTCACTTGCTGGATTAATCTTTAGATACCGCTCTGCTTTCCTTGGTTATGGCTGAGCATGTATAATGCGCTGGTGTGTATAATATCTCGCAGGTACAGTACCTTAATGAATCGCACCATTAATTCCCAGCTTGGCCACTGGGAGATGAATTAGACACTAACCTTTTATGAGTCTAATAGTGAACAGTTAGGTCTCTCATTGCGTGGATCAAGCAAAGGTAGCATGCATATATCTGTATCAGCATGTCCCCAAATGTCAGGCCTACCTAGAAGTCCGTCAATCCATCCACCATTGTCTGTTTGCCATCACGCAGCATCATCAACCGACGGTGCTTTCAAACTTTTTCCTATTGAAGCTTATTGAGAAGCCTTTCTGCTACTGGTATTGGCCCACAATGGACTTACATAATGCTATTGTCCGGCAAATATCTGCGCGAGTGAAGCGATTCCATGATGACAAGAAGCCTTTTCATATGTATCACGCTCCACGAACTCAACACGCCCTTCAAGAAAGTCCACATCCAATACCATCAATACAAGCAGCCTCAATCGTGTCCTTAGTATTGATCGGATACGCAAGGTAGCGCTAGTCGAGCCTAATGTTCCTATGGATATGCTTGTCAGCGCAATCCTCCCCCATGGATTCATTCCGCCGGTGGTGATGGAGTATCCCGGGATAACAGTAGGTGGCGGATTCGCAGGCACATCAGGAGAGAGTAGCTCGTATCGGCATGGTTTCTTTGATCGAACAATTTCTTGGATTGAGATTGTGATTGGGAACGGCGAGATCCTGCAAGCATCCCCAACCGAAAACTCCGACTTGTTCTTCGGTGCTGCGTGCTCCTTTGGAACCCTTGGAATCACGACTCTACTGGAGTTGCAACTCATAGAACTTCTGACAAACCCTGTAATGGAATTGACCTATTTTCCTATCTCGGGTATTGACGAGGCCATCAGAAAAATTGAAGAGCTTACACCAAACCCTACGTATCAGTATCTGGATGGTATTATATTCACCAAGACGAAGGGATGCATCTGTGCCGGGTCAATCACCAGTCTGGCAGAGGAAGATCAGGTTCAAACCTTTACTCGTCCCACTGATCCGTGGTTCTATATGCATGCCGAAGACATGGTTTCCTCGCTATCAAACCTGGAGAAGGGGACCGCATCCAAGGAGCTGATCCCATTGACCGATTACCTATTCCGCTATGACCGGGGAGGCTTCTGGGTGGGGAAGTACGCCTTTGAATATTTCCTATTTCCCCAGACAAAGTTCATGCGATGGGTGCTGGACGGAATCTCCCATACAAGGGTCATGTATCACGCCGTCCACAAGAGCGGACTTTTCAAGGAGTACACTATCCAGGATGTTGCGGTGCCGTATACTGGAGCCAAAGAACTGATTGATTTTCTTGATGACTCGTTTGGGAGGTACCCATTATGGCTTTGCCCTGTCCGGACTGCAACGACACATGTGTCAGGGCTGATGGCGCAACGGCGAAACCATCCTGACCCAGGTCATCGTGATATGATGCTCAGCATTGGAGTATGGGGTCCAGGACCGAAGGGTAAGAAGAACTTTGTCGACTTTAATCGCAAGCTCGAGAAAGTCGTCAACATGCTTGGGGGTCAAAAGTGGCTCTACGCACGGACCTACTATACAGAGGAGGAATTCTGGTCAATCTATGACCGTGATACAATGGATGGCTTACGACAGAAGTATCATACGTCGTACTTACCGAATCTGTATCAAAAAGTCCAAATCCAGCCGGAAGAGGTCGTCAAGAAGCGGTCTTGGACATCGCGGCTGGGAGACTGGGTAATGAGTTGTTGGCCGATTTCTGGGGCTTACGGGTTGATGCATACATTCTGGCATAAGGACTATTTGTTAGTAGAACGCAAGGATTTGCTACAATAGAAAGCTTGGTGGTACAGACGCCAGAAAACTTTCAGTACATAATTGACACGTACGTCCGAGCAGAAATAGAAAAGACGAGACCTTGGATGTGGATTTGACTACTTCAACTCCCTCTAATGGGAGCTGCCATAGCTTCAGGTCACCAGTCAAGCGGTAGCTTCATTGCCATGGCAGATACCAGATTGAACATGCTGTTATGCTTTGCCAGGCCCCTTGGATGACTAGTTACCTCGATTACGATATTACTGTTTATTAGTTGATCCTTGCAGACCTTCTGAATACAAACATACCAAAGGTCTTTTTAAATTGTGGCCTATCTTATCCTCCCTCAAAGTATTGCATGGCTAATGTCGTTCTGTACATGATAGCGGATCTGATGTTCACCTGTGGCGACGAAGACTGACAGCCAAGCCGACAATGTGTAAGAATGTGCTGAAGCTGCATAACATTGACAAGGGCTCTGGTCTGAACATCGTGACCCCTACAGTGTGTATGGTTGTGTATCCCCTTGTTACGTATTTTGTGATTAGGTTGCGATGAAGCCAGCGATGTAAATATCCTACTACCATGGCTATTGGGCTGGTATTTCTGTTGAAAAAGTAAATACTTATGTAGAGATGGGAATATACATCCCTAATGATGGATTTCTTGAATAATTTTCGGCGAGCTGGCACACTATAATAATACAGGAAGAGGCTTCACAATTTTTCGCAAGAAGCTCCATGTTTGTTTCTGTATGAATACGGAGCGGTATTCTACACAGTGTGTAATACACAAGGATGGACGTACAACGTCAATGATTCTTATGTCCTCCTTGCTTCCCTGCTGCCGGCTGTGTGAGTAACTTAAGTGCCACCCACTTCGGAACTCCCGATCAGTTTTTCACTTTCAAGTGCCACTGGATAGAGGGCTTGTCCCTCCTTTCTCCTTGACCATTTTTTTCGGGGGCCAAACATCAGGATATCTCAAGCGAGGGAGGGTCACGCCAAAGAGACTCGCCCCATTCCAATAGGCAACAGCAGTGCTCAATCGTACATCCAAAGGTGCCCTGCCCCCATTTTGCCTGCAAGGATAACACATTCACGACTTTCTTAGTCACCTCTCCTACATGGCCTCATGATGCGTCAAGGCGTGTTCCAATTTGACAGCATTCCCTGCTGGTTTTGCTGGTGTGATAGGATACCTGCAGGGCTATGGGGCGGACAGTCTCACCATATCAATTGACCCGGGAGTCAATCGGACGAGTTTTCAATCTCGGTACTTGTCCATATAATTAGATATCCCCCGTTGTCTTAAATATCCGGCTTGACGGCTTATTGATGGCGATTGATTGCCCTCTATTGATACCCCGAATGGGAAAGGTCGGCAGGCGGATGATGTCACTCGGTATGTCCTCCCTAAGCAAGCCCTATTGCTGCCATCTAGTCGATGGTCAATCGCTTCACTATCTAATTCATTGTCTCTTTTCATCATTGACTTGTCTTAAGGCACTACGTTAATAATATAACTGTTATACGACGGGCCGCTCTAGTTTCCGGCTGCAGATCCGCGAAGCCAAGTTTATTCTGCAGGAACTAGTATACAACTGCCCATACAGGATGTAACTGGGTCGACTGCAGCAACCCGAATAAACGGCCCCGAGGGTCTGGATCATCGTTCTGTCTACTATATTTCAAATGTGAATCATTCTATATCACTGGACGTATAGTGGAAGTCCATGTTTCAGCTGCGTCTACGTGGAACGCCCTGTTCTTACTTCCTCCGCTTCGTCTCAATAAGACATCTGTCTCTGAAGATCTCTCAATCATCGTGTTTCTCCTTCAGTGTCCATGCTTCTTTCCACACGATGCTCCCCTTTTCCTCGTACGGAGCTCCTATCTTCCTTAGTTAGTCCAGTGGCTCTGGAAGTCAAGTATACCTACCACCTGGCCGACTGAGACGTCCATCATTTGATATCAACATTTAGTTTTCTTCAGATCACACAGTTGTACTTGTATCAAAAAATATGTCGGCATCAAGTACTGCTCCCTACGCCCAGGCGGTGATCATTCCATCGCTTTCTATCCTATGCTTTCTGCTGACCATCCCTCCCTTGATCTTGCATTGGAAAAATAAGAATTTTCCTGTCGTTTCCCTCATATGCTGGCTGCTGTGTCTCAACTTGTTCAATGTTATCAATGCATTTATATGGCCAAATGATGACATGGGCAGTTGGTGGAGTGGCGCTGGCCTTTGTGACGTGGAAGTCAAAGTGATGATTGCCAGCTATGTTGCAGTGCCTGGGAACTTGGTCTGCATCTTCCGCGCTCTGGCGGGCATGATTGATACTAGACGTGCGATGCTTGTCCCGAGCAAGCAGCAACGGCGGTGGAATTTGGGCATAGATATGTTATTTTGTGTGATCGTGCCCGTTCTGGCAATGGCCACACATATAGTCTACCAGGCGAACCGATACATTCTGGTTGGCATCTCGGGCTGCGTTAACAGCTTTGATGAAAGTTGGGTGAGCCTCATACTGGCATGGATCTGGCCTCTATTAATCTGCCTCATTGCTGGCTATTATTGTAGTATGTTAGCACCTGTCCGTGGCCTTCTTGGTCCAAGCAGCTAACAGCCTACCAGGCCTTGTGGTTTATCGTCTTCACAGATACCGAAACCAATTTGGTGACATCCTACAAGCATCAAACAGCAACTTGAACAAATCTAGATTCATGCGGCTATTCATCCTTTCCTTCATTGTGCTACTGGCTATTCTGCCGGTCCAGACATACGTTGTCTACAAAAACATAGAGCTTTCGCTACCGTGGCATTCTTACTCATGGAATGTGGCACACGGACCACATTGGAATAAAATCCTGAAGATACCTTCGGGTGGTGAAGCCTTTTTCGATCGCTGGTTTCCAGTGGCCGCTGGATTCATGTTGTTCATCCTCTTCGGGTGCGGCAGAGACGCTTCCAGGATGTATGGCTCATACCTCCGCTTGCTGCGCCTGGATCACTACTTCGTCAGAGCCCATGGCTCTTCACCAGATGCATCCCGCTCGAATACGTCGGGTTTCTCGAACAGCCGATTGGGGCTACTTTTCCATAAATCATCGACTTCGACAGCAGGGTAAGGACCAGCTGCACTAGACCTAACAAGTCATGTACTAACGGCGGCCATAGAACTTGTACAGAGAACCCAGCTACTGCGAATAGTATCGACAGGAGCTCCAATGACATTGAGAAGGGCAGAGTCTCTTCGCCGAAACCCCAACGAGGAAAACGCATATCTTGGCTTAAGCATCCTTGGTCTCTTTGGCACCGCCCACTTCACCGCTCGTCTACTTCTAGTGGCGAGAGAATCTTATCCCAACCGAACCTCTCTGCTCCGTCAAATACAGTTTCCGCTAATGCATGGGCGGGCTCCAGCCAAAGCCGGCGAAGTAGCGATCTTACTTACATGCCTGGAAGAGAGGCATTCATCCGAGTTAAACGCGACATCAGCCAGGATAGCGAATTGCGAACATGAGGTCGTGACTAGTGCAATACCCCTGGACAGGTCGTTTACCTAATTGACCAGGTGAAGTGCCTGCGCCCCGGGATTTAAGGGTCTCTTACTTTTCATTCCGGCTCGTCCGTTGGGAGTGCTTCAAATTCTATTTATGTTGCCTTCTTTTTTCTTCTCCTCCAGATGTGTGGCTGATGTTGCATCAATCCTTAACATATGACCTCCAAGGGAGACGCCGCTGGTTAGATCTGCGATGAGTCCATTGCTTCTGTTCCCCAATAATTACAGATATCTCAGCATATCACGGAGTAGATCTAATCACCTTTATCGGGCATCACCGTCCAAGATGTAACCAGAAGGTTTTACTATTATTAACTGATCCGGTATGTGATATGCTACAAGTAACACATAGTTAGTATGATGCAGACCATTTTAGACAAGCAGGTCGTCCAACGCATCTGACGCGTCACATCCATTTTAAGCTTGTCCCCTGAGAGCCACGAAGCAGTATGCTAAAAGAGCGCTAGTATTCAAGGGTATACTTGTATAACAACTACAATACAGAAGCCGTACGATCCAAAATACAATTAGAACACATAATGGCCAATTCACTTTCACCGAGAAAACCTACAAGGGACCACAGAAAGCCTCCGCTCTCTAGATATCCGCCCCTCAAGCTAATACGTAGTTCTCCTTGTGCAGGCTTATGTTCGGCCGACAAAGCTTAGGCAGACTCATTTTCGTTAGGGTTGTTCGGGCGTTTGAGGACCTCAAGGTTCCCTGAATAGCAACGCGTAACACGGAAGTTAGCGTAGTCCGACAGATTAAGTTCATCTTAGCCGGGAATCTTACGTTGAACAATGTTCAGAGTGGTCTGCTTCTTGCCCTCAGCGTCCTCCCATTCCCGCAGGCTGGCGCTTCCCTCGAGGTAAACAAGGGTTCTGGCGAATAAGAAAAATCAACGTTAGCACCACACATTACCACTTTTCCTGTACATGCATTGCAATCAAGAACATATAACAGCACTCAAGTATAAATATATATGCACGTCATGGAAAATAGGGGCGGTACTTACCCCTTCTGCAGACCCAGCACGAAATCGCGCTGACCACCCTGGTCGAAGCTTGCGACCTTGAACCAGCTTGTCTGTCGGTTGTCGCGGGCCCCGGTCGAGGTAGCAACGGTGTATCTGATGACATCCTGACCGGATGAGGTGGCCTGCAGCTCCGGAGCGGCTGCCAGACGGCCGGTGATGATCATACGAGCTACCGAACGCGATGAGGAGGAGCTGAAGGAACGCGCGGAGAGAGCTCCGCCAGTGGCGGTGCGCATCACTGGGCGCAGGGATGAGGCGAAGGCAGACATGGTATGGCTGGTGTTCGGGATCTTTGCCTTTGAGCAAGTACTAGGGATAATGGTCGGTGAGAATCAAGATTTTAAAAAAAAGGGAAGTCAAATGTCACAGCTCGTCCAAGAGGTTCAACTGTCATTACTAACGTTCCTTTGCCAGCGCGATTTGGAATGAGATGTGGGCCTCACGTGATGACTATGGGCGATCATTGGGTGAACCCTTTTAGCTCCATCCATCCATCAACCATAGGAGGTTTACTTATCTAAAGTACTTCCTGTTCTACTTCGTACTATGTTCATGGATACCTTCTCGTTCTTGTTCATGGGATGTTCCCACCAGAGTTATCTTCTACCTGAAAGAAGAACCAGACGGAAGTGATACCATGACACTCTGTAATACAGAGATTGGTGGCCGGAAGACACCTCCGCCTCCCATTCGCTTCTGGGACGCCTGCTGACAGTTGCCATTTTCGCCATGACTCTCAGGACATGCATGCATGTATCAATCATAATAAACTTTTCGCTACAGAGAAATATACTACTGATCGTATCGCTAACTGTGCGGTCAAGGATTTATTGGTGTTCATGCAATTATGACGTGTGAGATATCAATTTCGGGCATTGGCCGTGACAGTAAGCTCGCCTTTTTTAACTCAAATCTTGGAATGGTAGTCTCCAGGTCATTTTTACTCTTGCCGTGATGTGTTCACCGCATCGCGACCGTGCATTCCATTATTGAAAAGATGCTTTGGGGGTGGCGACTAACAAGTTCTGAGATAAATTTCCGACTTGATGGAGTGGGTTGACAGAAACGAGTACATGCTGGAGGGCCCACCATCCCGGAGGAGGAACCGGTGTTCGGTTCACTATGCGACCACATATCCTGGGTCTTACTCCTGACTAGGTATGCATCTTCCTAAAGTAAGTTGTGTATAACCAGATCTCTGTCCCGAAGATGAGCATGGTTCCTGGAGACGAAATCTAGTTCGGAAATTAGTGTGGCGTCCGTCCTCCACTGAGCGAGCGGTGCCTTGTGATCAAGGCCATTGTGTTTTGATTGTGGAGGATGATAGGCCGAAGAGACGATCGCGGGAGAAATTAGACCTGTCGCCTCATGCAGCCGATCACACGCCCTAAACTCATTCCGAGGGTTGCTAGTGCTGCTAGCGCAATGACGGCCCCAAAACTTGGAGGGTTTAAACAACTTAGTCAACGCTTAACGAACTAGTAAGCACGACTAGCGAGACCTTCACTAGAGCACGCTGCTCTCGTACTCAGTCCTATATCCTTTTTGTTGGATCATGGTTATCATCTCAGCGTGATGGCGCCACGTCAGACTGCGATTCCGTCTGATTGCAAATTGGCTTACCCTGTGCGTGAGGATTTTCAACGCATCCCGACACCATGCGATTGCTAATCTCAAAGAGCACTGATCAAATTCCGGTTAACATTCGGCCTTTCGACACGATAATTCTCCTTACAGACTTAGTTCGGTCTATCGGACGCCATCGTGGATCTCCCTGAAGTCTGTTTAATCTGGTTCCTTGAGTGATGCCCACAGCCTGCGAGCTAATCCCTGATACGACATAGTCGTTCAGCTGTCGTCGCCATCGTGAACGAAGTTGCCGATCCCTACTAGATAACTCAATTTTCCACGCATGTCACTGCTGTCTTTTGCTTTTGCTGAGTGGGCCGTGTTGCGCCGTTCATCCGTTTAGTCCATTTGGTAATATGGCTTGCTTTGACCTCTTCTTGTGCGGGCTAACGACGCTACCTACGGGCTACGGAGTTCCCGCGTACCAGGATCTAAGTATGAGAGCTCCTTTTCGGTTTTCATGCATCCCTACTACATGCATACGATAGAATATACATAGTGGAGACGTACCGACTAAGGGCCCAGTGACCCACGTTCCCTGTTCTCTATTGCGCGTTTCTATTCCTCTTCAATAGTTAAAATTCGCTGCTCGTACTTGACCATCCGATCGATGTACATGAATAATGTGTGACTAGAAACTGCGACGGGACTTTCTGCAGTTTTTGTGACCCTATACTGGTTTCAGGTCAGGTTACTCTTGACTCTGTTGATGTTGCTCTGAGACCCTGAATACCCGAATCTCCCTCCGCAAGATGCGGCTTCTTCCTTTGCTTGCGCTTCTTGCGTATCTTGTGCCGTGTCTATTCGTGTTTGCGGCGCAGGTACCTCATAGTGAGGGCAATCAGTATGGGAGCATCGCCATTATAGAAGCTAGAGCAACAGACCAAGAAACTACAACAACTGCAGATGCAACCACTGGAACGACCGCGAGCGCAACTGGCCATGCGACAGCTACAGCCAATTCCACCTCGGCCTCAAATACAGCCACCTCGGCCACTACGGCTACAGCGACCCTGGCTACACCGGTCCCTGCTGGCAGTGAGTGGAAAGGTCCAATCTATACTTGCTTCTTCTCAATACTGAGGTTATACAGATGAAACAAACCCGATCGCTCCTGGCGCTCTCCCCTTGCAGCCTACGATAACACCTGCATTGGGGGTTGGTGGTTTCCTTCTACTCGTCGCCGGTGCAGCCCTTGCAATAATAGGAATACGGAATTTATGGTAAGACATGATGTCTTGTTAACAAATGGAAGATATAGCTTACCAGGCTCAGGATCCAAGTCTTCCTATCAACCGCTTTCTTAGCAGCTATTGGTGTAACCGTGAGCTTCGCTGCCTGTCTCTAGCTGTGGCTTCATTCTAATCAACCTCGTTCTTGTAGGTTCTCATCGTCTACGTCATGAATCCCCCAGTCCGTGTCGCGGTTCAGGGCGCCTACCTCGTCGCTATTTTCTTCACAGCAGTGACTTTCGGAGCACTAGCGCTTGTATTTAAGGAATTAACAGAGGGGCTTGGCTGTCTTTTAGGCGGGTTCTGCAGCAGCATGTGGCTTCTCTCCCTTAAGCCAGGAGGCCTTCTTACACAGACAAATTCCAAAAGCGGGTTCATCGGCGCTATCTCAGTCGCATTCTATGCTCTGTCATTCAGCCACTACACTCGGCCCTATGGACTAATGGCGTCGACTGGTATTTCTGGGGGTACTGCTGTTGCATTAGGGATTGACTGCTTCAGTCGTGCCGGTTGGAAGGAGTTTTGGCTTTATATTTGGGGTAAGTATTCTCTTTGACTCCTAGTAGTCCCAGGATTGTTCCTCTGACCAACATCTAGCTCTGAACGACGACATCTTCCCTTTGGATACAAGCACCTACCCTGTGACTCGTAATATCAAAGTTGAGCTTGCCGCCACAGTCATTATTGCCGTGCTAGGTGTGATCTCACAACTCAGGTTATGGAAAGTAATTCGGGCAAGAAGGCAGAAAGAGAACGAGGTTCGCGAAAAAGAGCAGAAGGAAAAAGAGGAGGCCGAGCTCGAGATTGGGCGGAGGTTCGAAGAGAAGAATATAGAAGAGCGGTTAGAGTGGGAGGCCAGACATGGCAATCCCGACTCTGGCATTCCAGAGCTTGCAGATAATTCAAAGAACGGATGTACGGCAGACCATGCAGTCGATGTGGAGAAAGGCGGTGCAATTGACACGTCAAGTGTTGCAAGTTCTTCACAGGAGTCCTATCGTTGCTCTGATTGCCTAGAGAGGCGAGCGAATGGTGAATCTGCTTATGCTGCTTCGCAATCAAGTGGGGACACTGGAGACTCTCAGAGTCGACAACTAGAAGATACCACGGTGGGAGTCGACACAGAAGACCAAGACCAATCCTCCCTCGATGGAGAAAAAGTCCCACTCAAAGTGTTTGATGGGGCAGCCGCAGCCAAAATCAAAGACGACAATAGTTCTGATATGACAGCTATCGTTGGGTCCGAAGCCGGAACAATACAATCCAAGCGGCTTTCTGGCAGAGACCTGTTGGACAAGGTATCTGCGGAAAATAGCGTAAGGCTTATATCTCAATCGCAAGAAGCACTGGTCTCCTGCGATGGCTCATCCACGCAAGACTCGGTAGACGGAAACTCTATTTCCGCCTCTGAGAGTCACAGCAATGTGGCGGGAAATCATATGGAAGAAGAAAATAGACCTGCTTCTGATTCGGAAGATGCTTCAATGCTCTCTGCTGTGCAGGAAGCTAATGGTAAAGAGACATCCGGGTTGGAGAAGGATGTTGAAAAAAGCGTCGGGGAGCCCAGCGTCTATTCGCGAGGGATAGACGAGCAAAAGTTCGGTGAACTGGAACAAGAGGGGGACAAGCAGGAGAAGAAAGAGAATAGCCCAACAAAGGAAGAAGCTAGCGAGCGCCTCCCACCATCACCATCATCATCAGCAGCCCATGCGAAGGACATGCCCGAGCCAAAACTTGACAAGCAGTCCACAGAAATACCTCAAGAAACCGAGATAGTAGCCGAGACAACAGGGCCAGCAGATCAAAATGATGACAAGCCACGAGTCGTTGGGTCCAGTGTGAATGGCTCGGCCCCGAAAGATCGAGATTCTAAGCCAGTCGAAGTCAGTCAATCAAAGGAGTCTTCATCCAGAGAAACACCCCCAAAGATCAAGGATCCTGCCCCTGCCAAGCAGAGATCTTCGAAGTCGGGATCCGAAACCAAGACTAAGCTTAAGAAAGAAGCACCCCCTCGACTGGATATAGAAACTGTGGAACGACTTCCACAACGAACATCAAAGGTGGTACAATCCTATAGGACGAACGAGTGGGCTAAGCATTTGGATGATGCGGAAGCTCCCGAGCCTGAACCGATCGAGTCAGTCGAAGAGGATGAACCAGAAACCCCTGATGAAGTTAAAGAAGCCGCTGCGCCTGTCAAAGTAGAAGAACTGCTGCAAACACCTTTGAATGCGCAGCCGCCGCCTGCTGTCGAGAGGCGTGTCTCTATCGCCGAGCCGCCTGTTACAAAGGAAATTAGCCAGATGGCCACCGGCTCTCAGTTGCAGTCCAGCGCTCGAGTGCATAAGAGAGCATGTTCCGGGCCATCTGTCTTCCCAGAAACTAAAATTGCCCATGCTGCACACCCAGGAACTCAAGGCCAACCGGTTCAAGGAGTTACAGATGCCGCCAATGCCTACGACGCGGTGTCTCCTACAGTCGACTCAGGGGAACAGCCGCGTGAAGAGACCGAGGTAGCCAGACCTCAGTGGAAAGGGCCGCCCCCTCTCATCGCAGTGCGCGAGGGCATGATGCGAAACAGATTGTCATCTTTCTCGCTTAGAGCCGACCCCTGGCCATCGAGATTCGTCCAGGGATCCGACGTTTCGCCCCGACAATCAACTTTCCCCATCCCCGAAGAAGCAGACGACATGCCTCTCTCCCGGCGTCGAACAATGCTACATCAGCAGATGGCTGTGCAGTCTAATGTAAGTCAAACCTCCGTGAGAAGGAGTACACCAACCCCACTCAACACACCAAGTTCATTGGCGGCATGGCGGGAATCTGTACGAGAAAATGTATACGACAGGCGAAGACCGGCAGCCCAGAAGCCTCCGATGACCAGCCAAGGGACGGGTGAACGGAATCCAGCATCTTCCAAGAAGCTGCGGGGAAGAGCCTCGTCAGTCAAGTTTGAGAATGCGATGGCGGAAGGTATGCAGCGAGGAGACATGACAGACTTGCATCGAGAAGCCTTGCGACGGATGCAAGCCATGGCCAATCGAAATGTGGTTGGCAAATGACTGGTCTGGGCATCGGTTGGGCTTGCAGCGGTGAGGGTTTCACGTCGTTTTTGATGAATTCATCATGCCTGTACGCGTTTCGGAGTTCCGCGGGACGGTTTTCAAAACGAATCTTAATGAGTGTTATATAGATGGGTCCATGAGCGACTAAAACCACAGTACTAACTACCGTACAATGGATTAATACTTAGTAATCTTGAGAACTAGACCGTTTGCGCCAGTATATATAGTACATTTATCTCAGTGTAGTTGCATCTATTCAACTTCAGGAGAGAGGGTCTCTCACTAAGCGGTACTATCGAAAGTTGGTGCCCTAACTTATGGGCTAGTTTCAACCTTCAGCTGCACAACGACGGGCTAAACGGCGACTAATGAAGGAGCGGCCAAGGAGACGATTTAGGTTCCACCATTATAATTAGCAGCAAACAACGCCAGGGGTCTCGATCTTGGGGGTTGTCCAAGCTTCCCGGCTGGACAAAGAGAGCAACGTTGTAATTGCTTCAGGTTGATTGATGTAGGGTACGGGAATGCTGCCCTACAGGAGCTTTTAGATGTATCCATCCTGGAAATGACTGCATAAGAGGCGTCTTAATCATGGGCGGAGTGTTACACATAATGTCCAATCTATGCGATATGACATATGATGCAGGTCGTTTAACTGTCTTAAATTTCTTTTTTCTTTTTTCTTTTTTTTTTTTCTTTCCTTCTTCCTTTTGTTCAGTGGGGGCTTTTGTTTTTCTGTTTACTCGTAGTTGGTGTTCTGAATTCCCGCTGCCTGGTCTCCTCCCGTGATAGAAGTGCCCTAAGGGAAAGGATTCGAGAGTGACGCAAAGGCTTGAAAGCCTTACTTTCCGGTTGGGCTATTGATCCATTTATTGTTTCGTCAGGGGGGGTGATGTTTCCGGGATGATGAGAAGGGTTATTTATTTAGTTAGATTAGAAGATGGAGATCCCATCGCATCTGCCGTTCGGTTTACTTCTCGTCCATTGACTTGATTTTGCTTTGTCCTTGTTCATGTTGTCCTCGACTTGTTTTTGGATCCAAATTGGAAATCCATACGGAGTACTTAAACGACGAGGTATAGATCCGCCCGGGAGATCCGACGAGAAGAACTAGTTATTGAAGTGCGATCTGACGAATTGGACCGATGATTTGAATTTCAAAATTCCCTTGCCAATTCCCCCATCATATCTGCCATTCTTCATCATTTTACATCCTGAAGGCGAGACGAAATACTTTTGCAACCCTCAGCGACTAATGTCGCGCATTGACCGAAGCGTGACCCTTGCCTTGCCCCTTTCTGCCTCTCACGCGCCAATCAGCGAGCCGCCTCCGTCGCTCATCCAGTCGGTGTTGCTTTTCTTCTCTCAGCAATCTTCACCACGACGGCCCTTCCTGTCACCGTGTCTCCTCCTCCTTCTCGTCTCTCATATATTCTCGACTCGTCGCCCGTGTCGGAAACGGCGTCTTTTGCGGCCCCACGGGATCCTCCTCTTATATCCGCGCCCAAGGCTGAAAAGTCTTCCCTGCCCCCGCGCCGTTCGTGGGAGTCCCACCAGCGTGCATCGTCATCGGCCTATCACTCCAAGCCAACGAGCTCCTCCCGATCCATACCGCGACACAAGGGTTTCTGGACTCCCTCCGCCATCTTACGGCCGCCCTCGGTTCGACTCGCGAACCCGGTCAACTACGTCCCGCGAATTACCCCGGTCACGGTCCCCCATCCCTTCCAGGGCTCGGAAGAGAATCTCTGTCTTGAGGCGCACCGAGACGCATACCCTCTCCTATCGATTCCCGAGCGACGTCGCAGCCGACTCACCCCATCCCCGAATAGTCTAGTGGTGGAGCGCAGCCAGGGGGAGACCGAAAGTGGGCGCTCCAGCATCGCAGTGCCTCGAGCGCAACGGCGCAGTGGTACCTTCAACGAAGATTGGCCGTTACAGGAAATGCCAGAATCGGCAGGAAATCATGGGAGTCCGGAGGCACAAAGCATTCGTCCGCCCGACCGGGCACACCTGACCCTAGACCCCGTGGTCGACCGAACCAACCCCCTCGACGACCGTCCCCGCCATATACAATCCCAGGCTTCCCTGCGGTCGCAAGCACAGATCGCTTCGATACCGTCGCATACGGGGCAACACCCCGGTGGCGAAACCGACGTGGCGGAGGAGTTGGCCTGGGGACCAGCCCATCCGTGTTACCCTCATATCAACCCGCATGTATCAGTGAGATCTCAGGAGTACCATACGACACGCATCATTCGGATTCGTCGAGATTGGATGGTTAGGGGAGACCTGGCCCCGACCTTTTCCAACTTGTATCCGGAGATCCTCGATCCATTACTGCCTGAGCAGGAGTTCCGCAAGATTATTGCTACGGTCAATGACAAGCTCATAAAAGCATTCGATCCATTCAGCCTTCGGAACTGGATAGATGGAGCGCTGGCGCTGTTGACTGGCTGGATCTGGGAGGATATAGGGGCCACGGGAGTCAAAAGCCAGCTCAAGCAGATAGAAGACTGGGTGGATAATTGGAACCGTGAGGTCGGCGCAAAGGACGGGGTATATATCTGGAGTCTTCGACGGACGGCTTACATGTCGTTGGACATACAGATTCCTGATCCTAAAGTTGGCATCATTCCCAGTGAGCATGGACCATCACTGCCCGGGACTCGACCGAGCAGTGGTGTCGTCTACGGCTGAACGGTGGATGCTTTAGGACTTGATGCTTCGAATTCCCTTTTCTTCTTTTTTCTTCTTCTTTTGCTGTATTCCTTTATCTTTATGCTTTTTTTAATTTTGCTTTCTCAACTGCAACCTGCAGCTGCACGATTCTAGCGACTTGGGATGTTCTTCTTAATTACCCTTACTTCTTTTCGATTTGACGATATCCACGTCCTTGATTTCAGATCGTTGATACCATGTCTCCTCCAAAGCCTTCTGGCCTTCGCCCGTTATGGGATGGGATTTCCTGTTTATATTCTGTATACTGTCTGTGTCTATAGTTCGGTCTGTTCGGTGTATGTCATATATGCCGGTTGTGCATAACAAGAGGGCTTTGATGGCCAGATACAAGTTAGATAAAACAATAGTGACTATGAAGAAAAATAAACACAATCATTGAGTGAATAGCGCATCTCACGTACGGTACACGAAAAAGATGTGGTCGGATTCTTAGGATTCGCTGTGGTAGATTTAAAACAGGGACCGCAGCTAAATGGATTCCCCACGTTCCCTCAGTCCAGAAGCTTACTTTCACTCGACGCCGATCTCCAAGCCCAACTTTCCACCCCCGAACTTTTCGCGACCTCCCTCACACTTCCCCTTTACCCTCCGACCCTCCCTCCTCCCCTCACACTCCTTCACAATGCTCTCCGGTATCCTAATTTTTAATCAAAAAGGCGAAAACCTAATCTTCCGTGCCTTCCGCAATGACTGCCGCCCCCGGTTGGCCGACATCTTCCGCATCCAGGTCATCTCGAACCCGCAAGTACGCTCGCCCATTCTCACGCTAGGATCTACGACGTTCAGCCATGTGAAGCACGAGAATATCTATCTGGTAGCGGTGACGAAGAGCAACGCCAATGCGGCGCTCGTGTTTGAGTTTCTGTATCGATTGGTGATGCTAGGGAAGAGCTATTTTGGGAAGTTCGATGAGGAGGCAGTCAAGAATAATTTTGTTTTGGTTTATGAGTTGCTGGATGGTAAGTAATCACACTGTTATCTTCTGAGCTATGATATAGCTGGGCATGCGGGTGGTGGGGTGGATGTGACATCGAAGCCAGGACTCGAGGAAAAGGGGAACAGCCAGACCGTTGGTGAGTACAGAGAGCTAACCGGGTATGATCCAGAGATCCTCGATTTCGGATACCCCCAAAACACGGAAACGGACACCCTGAAGATGTACATCACGACGGAGGGAGTCAAGTCCGCCATCGTCAACAACCCCACCGACTCAAGCCGCATCACCATGCAAGCCACCGGCGCGCTCTCCTGGCGCCGCTCCGATATCAAATACCGGAAGAACGAGGCCTTCGTAGACGTGATCGAAGATGTCAACCTCCTCATGTCCGCGACAGGCACCGTGCTCCGCGCCGACGTCAACGGCCAGATCGTCATGCGCGCCTACCTCTCCGGCACGCCGGAGTGCAAGTTCGGACTCAACGACCGCTTACTACTCGACACCGATGCGGCCGGTGGCCCAGAGTCCCGTAGCCGGGGCATAACAACAAAGGGGACTCGCGCCGCGGCGGGCTCTGTCACACTGGAGGACTGTCAATTCCACCAGTGCGTGAAACTGGGCCGTTTCGACGCAGACCGGATCATCTCGTTTGTTCCGCCGGACGGCGAGTTCGAGCTCATGCGATACCGCGCGACGGAGAACGTAAACCTCCCGTTCAAGGTGCACCCTATCGTCAGGGAGGTGGGTACGACGAAGGTCGAATATAGCGTCGCCATCAAGGCGAACTATAGCTCAAAGCTCTTCGCAACGAACGTCGTCATTCGCATCCCAACCCCGCTCAACACAGCCAAAACCACCGAGCGCACCAGTCAAGGCCGCGCCAAGTACGAGCCCGAACACAACAACATTGTCTGGAAGATCGCCCGTTTCTCCGGTGGAAGCGAATATGTGCTCACGGCCGAGGCAACGCTCACCAGCATGACACATCAGAAAGCTTGGAGCCGGCCGCCACTCAGTCTCTCGTTCAGTCTTCTCATGTTCACAAGTAGCGGACTGCTGGTCCGGTATCTCAAGGTGTTCGAGAAGAGCAACTATAGCAGTGTGAAATGGGTACGGTATATGACACGAGCAGGAAGTTACGAAATTCGGTACGTTCTTTCCCATTCCCAAACTTACTACCATTGACGATGGGGATACTAACAATACCATAGATTCTAGCTTGTCACTGCAGGCCAGGCAGCCAGATTCACCATTCATCTATACCATTAGCAATGGCATTATCGACATCACTGTCAGGATCAGTATCTATTAACTAACCATAAGCTGGGTGTATGGCGTTGTGGTCCTTGTTTCTTTTCCTGGATATGTACTGTATGAGCGAGACTATAATTGTATAGTTTTTCTGTGAAGCCTTTTTCTATTATAAATATCAGCCCATTTCCTACCGCTTTCCACCAGTTGGTTCATAGAATAAACCGGAGAAAAGTCAGGTATGCCTAAACTAACCCTAAGGAAGTCAATCATGTTACATCCACTCAGGTCACCACATCCCAAAAAGGAAAACAAAAACCATAAATAAATAAACACTCATACCAAAACCTAGTGTATCAAGTGCCTAGAGCCTAATTGCTATCGAGCCCTATATTCAATTTAATCTTGTATCTAACAGCCTCTACAAGCTTAAGAAGACCAGGAAGATAATTCCCATATGGAAGTAGAAGAAGAAGATAATCTTGATTTTAATGCAACCCATTCTTATCCCGAGACACGAGACCATCGTCCATATAGTAAAAAATAAAAGCAACTAATAATGCACATCACCGTATTGAAGAGAAGGAAAAGTTTGAAAATAAATCATACAAGAAATCGAAGGGAGGAAACACACTCTGGTGTACAGTCGAGAACCCCCAAGTCACTGGCACGTAGATAATACATAGAACTCATAAGGTGAACAGGGCGGAAGGAATACAGTAAAGGGGGAATGAAGAGGACGATCTCAGTCCAGACGTGACGGGGATAAATAAAAAAGACAAAGGTGAAGAAGAGAGAGGGTAGTAATACATCGGTGTGGAGTTGAAAGAAACGCGAACCGTGAGCCCGTAGAATACATGATACCAGATATCCGTCAAAGATGTTCATAGAAAGGTGAAGGAAGGATGTGAAGGAATGATAGGGTGAGAGGTCGTGGAAGGAAAAAAAAGAAAAGAAAAGAAAAAGAGAGGGCATCTATAGCCAACGAGGACGAACCACTCGTCGCCCTCGTAATCCGACATTTCCGTCTCCCACAAGAGCCTGCCATCGACGTCCGACGCTGGCATCGTCTTTGCCCATGCGGCGCGCGTAGTCCTCCAGATCTCGCTGGGAAAGCTGGAAATTCTGAAGAACTAACTCGACAAGTCGCTGGTCGTCGTCCGCATTCCAGGTCTCATTTGGCGGAGTTTCCTGTGTTTCTTCGATAGATGGCAACACTGCGTTGGGATTAAATAGCTGAGCGCTTTGCTCGGGACTGAGTTCCAGTTGGCGACAATGCGCAGGCGACGGAGGCGATTGTGAGATTGGTGGAGAGTGAAGGGCATAAAAGTCTGATTGAGAGAGACCCAAAGGAAGCTCATAGGGGGCGTGACGAGTGCGCTTGGGGGTCGAGAATCGCATGCCACGAGTAGTGATTTCTGTGTCGCTGGTGTCATCTTTTCCCTCGCAGCGATCGCGCTTGCGTTTGTTGGCGCTTTGTAAAGGCTTGGGTGATAGTTTGGGGTCCCTTTGCTTCCGCGACCGGGCGGAAGGCGTGGATCTGATGTGAAGGGGACTTTGGAGGCGCTCTGGCTTTGCGCATCGTGGTGAAGGGGCGGGTGATGCGTTTAGAAGCGATTGGAGGGCGCGACAGGTGCCCAAGAGGCCATTGCTCGATGGGAACTCATCGTCGGATGGTGGGGGGGTTGTGAATTGGCGGCTGGGATCCAGGCATGGCGGAGTCGCGGGGCGGCGCATGTCGCAGGGGAGAGCAGATGGGAGCAACATGATTGCGCAGAAGTGCGGTAATTTCGTGGAGAGGATATTGAGAAACGAAAGAATGTGCGATAGTAGAGAGTAGGGTGGTTGGTCAAGATCGCTGATTGTTGTGTGCGCCGGTTGCGCGGGCAGCGCTGGATTTGCGCCGGAGGAGGTCACGATAAGACCAGGGAGAGACTGGGGTGTGAAATCCAGACCGATAAGAATTTTGATATCAGCGCTTCAATATCGACTGGTTCCGAGCGATGCGACGAGGTGAACAACTGGGGTTGATAGATAGATGATGAGGGAGTGGGTAGATGGATCAACGTTGGGAAATGAGTGAGAGTGGCGCGGGAGCGATAACTTTAGAAACGGGAAAAGGAGAGGAATGTTCCGCAAACGACAAAGTGCTTTGTCGACTCCGTTCCACTGGTTAAGCCACTCCAGAAAAATGGCCTGCAAAAATGCCAAAAGAATGACGAAAGAAACCACTTCCGAGTGCAAGTTTCCAAATTCCAAATGATGAAAAGTTGAAGTGAAGCAAACGAACGTCCTTCTCAACCAGGCAGGATGGTCTTAGCAAAGAATGGCTGATGATTCAGGTCTAATCATATCCCCTCAGGGTGCCTTTGCTCTCCCTCTTTCTTTCTACTCAGGGTTGCTGCTTTCTTCTTCTCCCTGTTCCAGGGGAATGGCTCTATTATGAAGGCCTACAAAGACTACAATCTTTCCCCTCCCATCCTCTCCTCGGCTGTAGTGAGACAAGGACAAAAGGGAGTCTTCAAAGAGGGATGCATGAAGCAAGGCATTATCTGAGGGAGCAAAGAAAACCGCCGAAAAGCCACCACGAGACGGGTTTATTTTTGACTTTGCTGAAGACAGGGTGTACAACCAGCACCGTCTCACGCCCTTGCTTACCCTGCATCATCCCACTTTTATCCTGTCTGCAATACGTGACGACATCCTCTTTGATGGCTCGTGCCGTTGCGGCATGAATTTCGAGTTGCATTGCAGCTGCTGCAATGCATGCGAATTGTCACTTGCAGCATCAATGCTCTTCATCAGAGCGGAGCATCTGTGGCGATTGAATTCGATATTGGCCAAGCTCTGCAGTAGCCACTTCTACAGACAATTATACTATAATGTAGAGTAAAACACAGGTGGCCCATTCTCTCTCTTCTACTCACCCTACAACTAGCACAATAGCTCCTCGATATACCCTGGATCAAATATTAGAGTGTAGACCTGGATTCCGTTTTCTCCCATTCTTCCTTGAGGAGATTCAACATTGATTCATCCCGCTCATGAACCCTTTCAGGAAATGACTATTAAAGAGCGCCTTCATCCCAAACATAAGACTCACTTATCAGGCAACTCTTTTGTGCCCAATTGACTGACTTCACTGGCACATCTCTATACTCCCTATTCCCAATTGGGTTATATTGGCCCATACACTATCGGAATCGCGAACGCGTCGCGTATTATACGCGTCACGACACGCCACGCGTCCACCAATCACAGGCGGTATTGATAAGGCTCCGGCCGTTGAAGGCTTCAGATGAGACAGTCACGTTACGAACATCAACCCACCAGCTGCAGGAGCGATATTATCGTGCCCGGACTAGGCGAGAAGAAGGACGAGAACAGGAGCCAGCCCCCTGTTCAAGGCGTTGCTGATCCGGTTAATCGTCCGAGAAAATGAAGTGGCTAGATGAATTTCCTCCTATCGTGCGCGATCTTATCAGAGATACGCGGCCTCCTTGCTTCCCTGAAGGGCCAAGGGTCGTCACTCCCGCATTCTTGCTTGAGGTGCGATGAAACTCAAACGAATTAGCTCATGGTGCCATTGGCAGTATCTGGGGTTGCCTGATCGTCCCTTTCTATCTGTGTCTTGGAGCATATACAGTTGGTTAGTGTGTCCCGATTCAGATCTATTGGTGTCCGTGTCTTGAACTGCAATCCCGCCACCACCCGTCACGGACGCGCATTCGGGCAATTGCGGCGCCTTGCGTTCACAATCAGGTGGTCCTGATCCTTGATCTCGGGGGATTTGGTCGGGGGGATCCACAATGTCGCGTTATCTCGCAGACTGCTGCAGCAAATTCTACGAATACGCCAGGGTACCACTTGGTGGACGGAACAGTTGCATCAGCAGCAGCATAGATGACAATTAACACATCAGACTCATTAACCAAGTCTGATAGACCTCTTTCCAGAAGAAACACATCATGTGGACGGCCCAAAGGAAAATAAATTATGGCCCAAGCCCGCTCGTTGATACTCAATGGGAGTACAAAGCGGAGGAACCCAGGAGGCTGGGAAGGGTTACTCACCCCCCATACAACCATACAACTATAACAACTTACTATTCGCTCTGATAGCAGGTAAAACCAAAGGACTGGGATACTGAATCCTAAGGAAAGCTTACTACGAGACAGCCAAACGCGAAAAACGCCTATCCTTCAGCTGTACCCCAGCCTCCAGGTGGAATCCAAGACTCATGCAAGGGGTAGGAGGAACCGGTGCAACCAGATGCGAGAAAATCGCCGCACAGTGGGGACCATACTCACAGGGCACGAGTCTGCAGAACATTCAACGCGCACCTGCATTATCATTTGACAGATGCAAGTCCTTGTATTGCCGGTTGTGGTAAGGTCAGATCCCTTTCCGCCGATAATGCCATCTATCGATCCTTTGTAGAGATGATAACCTTTCTCGTGCCTTTGGGTGGCTGGTAAGACTGCTCTCACTCTCTGCTCCTCCAATAGCACGTTTCGCTTTTTGTCTTTGTTCTGCTATCGATGAAAGAACCAAGACATGTCGAGCGAATGTCTTCCCCCGCTGATGTCACCACGCATCCCAGGTTAATTCTCCTTGGCCCCTTCAGGATAGCCCATGGTTGCTCAACATAGTAGCACGTCCCCCGGATCCCAGATCCCTAGTTCGTCTTCACCCTCCATTACCTCAAAGCTGTTCAATGAATAAATCCGCCATTGCGGTACCTTACATGACCCAAAACTGACAACCTCATACCCTCCAATCGACATGGACTGATTACCCAATGTAAAGAAAGAAAGTGCCTAATAATAGACCCAGAATTACCAAATCAAGGGTACAATCAAGCCCATTGGAGATCGTCCTTTGAAAGGGGATAGGAGGTACCTTTGAGACCATACCTCCTTCTCCCTCTTCGCCTCTTCCTAGTTCTCTCGATTGGCAAAATCATATGACTGCCCAAGTTCAGTAGCCCCTCTCAGCCTTTTTGTGGTAATTGTCCAAGACCACTCTGTAGACCATACTGTTTTTATCTTCTCTTGGCTTTTGCCCGCTTTACTGGCCTTGCCATCTTTTCTGGTCCCTTCCTTCCTCTCATTTTCTCCTTCCTAGTCTGATTGCTGTAGCCGATGATCTATTTTTGCATCACGTGCTAGCAGCTTTGCTGACGTCGACCCTGGGAAGGGAGTGGGTGTTTGAGGCAACTCTCAGGGGCGAGGTGCCTGTTTCAACAAAAATAGAATCGATGCTAGTCTGGCTTTGTTGGCTTTCTTTTCTAACCAAGAAAACTTTCGTATTCCCCCCTAGGTTTTCTTTAACTACAGTTTCAAAACATACATCTGGTCTAACCGTGCGTTGCGTCTGCATCGCACAGACGATAGCTTCTGAGGCAGTAAGTTAAAGTTGGCCTGTGAAGAACTCCATGCAATGCTTACCCGAGCCTTATGCTTTATGCGGGAGATAAACTATTGAAAGTATAATTACATTCCGATTTGAAGTGTATCTATTATTAGGTTTGCTTGTTCGGACTATCTCGACTTGAATATCGTGCTGGACTCAGTGATATCCCATCGACCTGATTACTCGCTCTTAGGCATTTTTGTGGCTGCCCTGAGACTACCCCTTTCTGGATGCTTTTTCTCTTTGATGCAGCGCCCCGTTTGGTGTTTGTTGCGAGACATTGCATCCCTATTCAACGTAGGACGTGAGCCCTTGATTCCATGGTCCATCCATAGGTGTGTATCCGTGTACTGCCAGTTACCAACAAATTAAGTCATGCCATACCCTGCACTGAAGGTTTGTAATGTGAGAACCTTGCCTCTGCTAGATAGATTCCTGTGGATCTGGGTCAAGAAAATCTCGGCCTTGATTTGTATGTAAATGTTGTGGTGGGCTTGTGTCTGTGTACCCTACGCAGCAGTGCGGTGGAAGCTCGGGGTCTGAAAGAGTCGTGGACATGGAAGCGGAATTTCCACCCCCTAACTCATACTCCTGTGAGACTGATGGTGTTGGCGAATCCCTCATCTGATGTGGTATCTCTCTAGCAGCATATGACTGCCCCGAATCGACTCTTGAATACCCATCAGAGCACAGGGTCTGCATAAGCTCGCTGCATTGTTCTGGTATTTTCATTAAAGTACCCAGTTTGATTATTAGGGAGCCCTTATGCGAGCGAGGCCGCCAGCTTCTGATCGCTCGTCGGTACAGCGCTTCGAACTCCACTCGATGAGCTGGGTTGGTGAACCAGTTATGATTCAGCGCTTGTTTAACGTCTATGCGCTTCGCTTCATCAAACACAAGAAGCCTGCGAACAAAGTCCCTCGCGCGTTGTCCGATTTTGTTCCAATCCATGTCGGCTTCGAGTTTCTCAAGGTCACGCTCTCGAGAAAGATCTGTCGAATCAGCAGTCAATGAGTTCTTAAATGGAATGTCCCCGGTCAGGAGCACGGCTGCTACACAGCCCAGTGACCACAAATCTACGGCTTTTGTATAGCCTTGCTTGGACTTGAGCATCTCGCTATTATTAAAGGTTAGCTTCTATGGCTGATACTGCTTGCATTATACTAACGGGGCGCTGTAGTCGAATGTGCCGATCAGCGTAGACATCCGCTCAACAGTTGGCCGCACAAGTCTGGCACATCCGAAATCGGTGAGTACGACTCTGCATCCATCTGCTAGAGATGTCATCAGTATATTGTCTGGCTTTAGATCCCGATGGACAATTTCCCGTTGATGCAGATAGTCCAAGGCCATCAGGACCTGTCGCACGATGACTGCGGCTTCAATATCATCTAATTTTCCGCCTTTATATTGTATGTAGGAGAATAGGTCACCAGCCGTAACGAGTTCTTGGAAGAGGTAACTGTCCAGATTTAGTTGAATCCGAAAGAATGCGTGTAGGAACCCACATTGTATTGCTCGATTCGATCACTTTCTCAATACTAATGATGTTGGGCTAGTCATGTCAGGATCGGCAATGGATTTGTGCATACGAAACTTACATGGCAGAGGCTCTCAAGTATTCTGGCCTCACGGCTGTATACGTCAAGCTTCTCCTGGATCTTCCTTTGAAGGGCTTCCTTGAAAGCACGAATAACGAGCAACCTTTTTCCGGTGTGTGCAAATGCGTTTTCTTTAAAGTGCCTAGACTGCTGATCTTCTGATTCCCTAATAACCTTGTTCTTCAAGGCACGGAGGTCGACAATCTTACAGGCGAGTTGCTGGCCAGTGTCCTTATTAAATGCCATATGTACTTGCCCGTAAGCTCCAGATCCCAACTTTTCCGACGTAACCTTGAACTGGTCTTCAAACACCTGTGCTGTTGGTCAGCAAACACAACACGGTCCGCGTGATATAGGGAGAGTCACCCTCATTTCTATCATTTGGAGCATATCAAAACAATCTTCATTTCCCTGCACAGCACAACAAAAATGGAGAGAGAACCTCAGAGACAACTGTAGTACATCACCATCACTAAGAAGAAAACTTCCCTTGCCCTTTCCCATAGGGTAACCGTTCCATGATGTTCCATTCATAGATAAGTCTTGAGCGTATACTAAAGGCGCAACTTCATCGGGGTTTTCTCGGTCAAATATTATTGTGTAGATCCGAAGGTGAATGTTGGAGATGACTGGGTCGTTCACGACATGGTTACTTGAGCTCAATCAGTATCGGGAAGTCTCGATGAGACGGAGTAGAGGGCAACGTACCATCGCCTTGGATCACGACCAACGTATATTTCGGCGTTGCTATATATAGGGAATGAATCGATAGCCCTTTCGAGCTGTGCATCCCGCACTGACACAGTGCCAACAAGGTGAGCAGGTGTTGACAGGAATGACATAGTACAACTGAGCGGGAGCGTTGGATGGAGCTAGTTGATTACTGTTTGTCTATGTGATAATGTAATATTCCATAGATAATGTAGAATTGTGTGAAGGGGGGGGATATGAATAAATCTGTAGGAGTAGTTCTTCATTAGTGGAAGGAAGACGCCTCAAGGAAATTAAATATAAACCTAGTGCATGTCACCTGCTATGGTATCAGATCACGACGTCACAATACAACCAGACTTTCACATTGTCCTCGAAACGACTACTGGCTTTTTTTTTGTACTCGCGTTTACACATTTGAAAGATATTAACTCTAACTATATCCGGAAGATATAAGTGTACCATTCTCCCGGTCATCCTGTACGAACACATTCAAATCCGCATATATCGGTAGCCTTAGTACTCCGTGGTTTCTCTACCTTGGTAGATCACCGGTATAGTCAGAGAAAGACAACCCTCACCTTAGTTAGCTATAGTCCTCTAATGGCATGGAGTCTAGAATAAGTTAAATATAGAGCCTGGGATATTCAACTGCCGATCATTGTCCAAAACTCCTCACGGCAATAGCTCTACCTCAACTACCCACCAATCATGGTTCTGGACAAGTTCTTCCACTTATCAAGGCTTTATCCAAAACATCCGTGGAGTCGCAATACTGTATAACATTGAGACAGGACAAGAATGACCACATCACAATATCTGCCGATGTGAAACTAGTGTGCCCCTGACCGGAGCTTAGCTGCACCATGACCCGCGGGCTAATCCACCGCCAGTTTCAGGATATTAAGGAATGAAACTACCGACTCACATTGACGGGAAAATTATGTAGATCTAAACCCTTCCACGGGCCTTCTTCGGATCAGCTCGCCTACCATATAAAGGCGAATAAACCCCAGGGTCCAAGTTTTACTTCTCTATCCGCAAAACACACCAGTCCATCACAAGTTCAACATCGAAAATGCGTGGTCTCAGAAGTCTTACCTCCCTCGCCGTTCTCGGTTTGGTCAGTGCCCAGGACACCATCGTCTTCGGTCCTGCGTTCTCCCTCGGCCCTACCAAGTCATGGATCCGTGAAGCGACTACTACGCTGGTGTTGCCCGAAGCACCAAGCCCTCAGGAGGACCGCCTTGCACTCTGGCCGGGAATGGGCACCAGCGGTGGTGATCTGATCCAGGCTCTCGCTGTCTCCTTCTCGGACCCTGCAGCGTAAGTCCTTGAACCGAAAACCAATTTCCTCTACTGCAGCTTAAGCCACACATACTAATCGATTCCCATGCAGAAACTGCGGCGCTAGCTCCGGCCAATGGTGCACCTGGGCAAGCACTCTTCAAGGTAAAGGATGTGAATAATCATATATAGAAGTGCATATTGCTGACTGGAAACAGGAACCCAGCTAGGTGGAAAGCAAGTTCCAGCCTCTGCAGGCGACAAGCTTGTCATGCATTGTAAGTCACCCTGTGCTCGCGCCGTTGGTTACTCACACCCTTCATGCTAATCAACGATCATGTAGACAAGTACAACGATAGTACCGGCAAATACGACCAGACAGTGTCCATCAATGGCGAAGTCGTCTCGAGCCTCTCGACTAGTGAGTTACTGATCCCTACTCCTTCATTATCGCACTGACTGATGCCGTGAAGGCTCTGGCCAAGCCCAAGGATGGGGTACTGCCGTTGAGGCCCAGGACAACGCCTCGAAGAGCACTGTTGCTGCGCACCGTAAGTTCCACCATAGCGCTTCCTAAGGAAAGAGAACTAAAACGCTGTGCAGAGTACCTTGATACTACCATCATCCTCGATTCCGCTGACCTTACCTTCCGTGATACCCTCGGCCTCACCGATGCTGACTCTACTGGCTTAACGACTTCTGACAATGGCAAGACCTGGAAGGTGACTACCATCAACATTCATGAGCATTCTTTCTAAGCCTTGAAAGGACGCTGTATATATGTACCAAAGGATCCTTTTTAGCGCTCCTCTGTATATTCTTGTTATCGTTCTGCTCTTGATATATTGTACATAAGTATGATGGAAGGTGTGGCTTTCTTTAGATGAGGATATAAACGTTTACTCTGACGGTGATTTATTGCAAACAGGCGGGCTCGGTGGTCATGAGTGAGGTAAGGTAGCCGCCATTTCTCATATAATATCTCTATACATCTGGAAAAGAAGAGTACTTCTCTTTATTCGTCTCTATCATTCGTAATAAATCGGTATACCTTTTATGTTGCATATCATGTCAAAGAATAAGACCTGGCTCATTCTGTCTATCAATTGCAGCTGGCAAGTGCTCATTACTTGCCTTGCATCCGCTTAATACGTTCTTCAGCTGCCCGTGCCCGACGCTCTCTTTCCAACCGCATCCTCATTTCTGGCGTCATGCCACGCATCTCTTCCTCTCTTTTCTCGGAGGCCGTCTTCTCTACGGATCCCAAGGCTCTACCACCCGAACGCTTTGCTTGTAAGGCTTCCTTGGCGGCATCCTCCATCTTCAAGCGGTGCAATTCAGCTTTACGTCGATTTTTCTCTTCTTCCTCTGCAGTTTTCCGCTCGCTTTCTGCCCTGCTATCCACGTCGGCTTTTGAAATTGCCGATGGCACCTTGGCAGCATCCCAGTTCCATTTCGACTCGCCAAGTTCGTGACGAGCGACGCGGAAGGCATCACGTGTGGCCCGATCACCTGCAAGCTCAAAAGGTGTTCTCCCTTCGCCATTGGTAGTTGTCGGGTCTGCCTCCGCTTTGGTAAGAAGGGCAGAAACCATCGCTGGCGAATTAAGGTTTGAGGCGAGATGAAGAGCAGTAGGGCAACGGAAGTTCTGCTGAGAATCTGATGGATGGAAAGTGAAGGAAGGGGGAATCGAGTTCTTAGAGAGATACGACATCAATGCTGGGATTTTGGAGCGACGGATGAGTGCCTGTATTTGGGTTGTATGAAGCATAGCAGCTTCGTCCTCCTTGGACACTTTCGGCTTTTGCTGTTGAGGCCGTGGAGTAGATGGCTTTGATACTTCTTCTCGTTGTTTGGCCTCAGCTGCTGCGAGAGCGGCTTCATCAATCTGACTCACTTTTACGCGAGTCAGTTCCTTGAAGCATCTCATGAGTTCTCCTTGAGTAGCGCGGCGTGTGCTGAAGGGAAACCCTCTCAACCTAGGATCGTTGTTTCTCAGAACTTGGCCATCGTATTGGCCGAACAAAATCCGCCGGTTTGTGCTGCCTGTGGCCCGAACAAATAGCAATTGGGCATCATCGATCATTTTCCTCCATTCTGATAACAGTTCTCTAATCTCTTTCTCCAGCGCAGCCTCATTGTAACGTCTTAGGCTAGAACCAGCCGAATGTGCAGCTCCTCTAGCAGCATCGCTGGCGGATTGCGATCCTCCCTGTTTTCGCCTAGTTGTATAACGATGGAAAGTCTTGTGTGCAATTACTCGAGCCTGCCTCTCTTCCACGCCGCCTTGTTTGCGATGAATCTCAGGGGCCAGGGAAACGATCATTGCCGCAAAGTGGCCTCCACCGATCATGCACAGGAATACATGTGGGCTAGATGATGCAGAAGGCCCCTGAGCATGACTATTATTCCGTGGCGTGTTGATGGGAACTAGTTGTTTCTTCCGGAGAGAATCAGCAAGATATCTAGGCTCTTCTTGTTCAGCATCTGAGAACAAAGCCCTATATACACCTAACGAAGTGTTGGAAGGTAGAAGGGAGCTTGAAAGCCAGACTAAAGGATTCTTTCCAGTCCGTTTTTTCAACGGCGCATCCTCTTCTTCACCTGTTTGCGAGATCTTCGCTTGCCTTTTCAACAAGGCAGTGAGCTGCGTCCCATCGTCTTCGTCCTCTTCCGATGACAACTCGGATCCAGAAATCGATTCGTCCAGCTCCCCGACCGCTTTGTTGAACTCAACCTCATTCAATGTGGGATTGCCTCGAAGTTGGGCCTTAAGGTTGTACCGATGGTGATCTGAACGGACGTGGCCCCGCTGCTCTTGGACGTTCAAGAAGGAAACATTGCAGAGATTGCATGAGGTAGATGTAGCAACTGCATATTCTTGTACAGTATCTTCAGGCTTTTCAGGTGTATTGACTGCATTATCTGACGTATTTATCGCATCGTCCTCGCTTTTGGCGCTTAACGTTGCGAGTAGTGCCTGCGGAAGATCATACACTTAAATTGGGAGTCAGTGACGGAACTGTATGTAAAACAGAAAGCGTAGCACGGAACGAAGTCAAAAGAAATACGGACCATACAACGGCCTCTTTAGGAGCTCTTCCGCGATAGAAGCATCCGTGGCCATATTGACTAAATTATGTACAAGCGATGAGTTGCGCCGATGAAATCGCAGAGTGCAATGCGACGGCAGAACAAATGCCCCTCTTGTTGGAGCGTTACCGCCTTTAAGGCACCGATAGGTCCGATCCAAAATATTTAAGAACAATATTCAATCTGCGACCATTGAAATGTGTGACGTAAAGTTCGATCCACAAGTGCAATTTTGAGTCACAGTGACTCAATCGGAGTCAATCCACTATCTCTATTATAAATATAATGGCTCTATTGTTGGCTCGCCAATTTTCATAGGTTACTGAGAATACAGAGTACACTAAACTTTTCTATGAATCTGCCTTGGCCCGTTTATTTTTAATCCTCGGCTTGTTTTACGCAGTTGATGGGCATAACAATATAGTCCTTCCCTTGACATATTGTAGTGCATGGTTAATCCGATCCATTTATAATAGCATCACATTGGTCCTAGCCAAATAGGATTTTCAATTAACTATATTTTTGTTGAATACGGTTGTTGCTAGTATATATGGTGACCATCAGGTGATTCAGGTCTGAAAGTGTGCACCTACTACCTAGAGCTCAAGCCTTAAGATCTGAAAGACAATTTGGCGAAAGATTTATATCCCTTTATTATTCAACTATTTTCCAGAAAACCAAAATAGTGTGTAAACATTTACAACCAGATGAGGATATCTCAAAGGTTCTCGTGACCTTGTCTTTGACCTAGGGTGAAGCGAAGTAGAAAGATAGAACTGATACTCGGGAGATATATATATCCAACTCCTTGTCATAGTGAGCCGGGATTCTGGGCTTATTCCTGAGATACATTAATTGGCTAACTTGAGGCTCATGATCAGCCAAGTAAGCTATCGATCGTTATACCCCATCAGCTCGATTGCCATAGTCTAGACAGCTTTCGAAACACTCGAGTCTTTGATATGAATATCATGGATGAATATGGTAAGTAATGCCGAGCACTGTTGATGAGACTCGGGACTCGGGGCCGATGACGCTTTGCTGATTCTGGCTTAGTCTGTCATCATGCTCCTTGCTTACCTGACTCCGTAATCAATTTCCATTTGCAGCCTCTTCGTATTCGTTCATAAGTCAGCAATTGCAATTCGTAAGCAAACCCCTCTGTTTCGCACCCGGAAATGAATGGTCTACCCCGGAAAAATTACTGGCCTACGATTGGAATTCTAGAATGGTTGACTCTTAAAATTTTGAGTCACCTCATGACGTATGGAAGCAATGAAGATGCCAAGACATGTAATGGTGCCGGCTTATGTCATAAGCACCGAACGCAAATGTCACGCTTCAGGACGAAAAATAAGCAAGGGAACAAGAGCCTCGAGAGAGAGAAAATCTCTTTGCGAATCCACTCCAATGACTAGACTGCAATGGTCATAGGAGGAGAGATAGTAAGGTAAGCTAGGCGGAATTCCGCATCTCCGGCAAAGTCATATCGGCTTATCACCGAAGCTTAGGCCGTCTCATTTAGTAAGCAACTTGCAGCTCACGAGAGGATTGGCCTCGCAGTATCATCCTCGATCAGAAAGTTCTCTCCGCCCGCAATCGCATCCATCATCTGCGTGAAAGCACCCCGGGAGTTTTTCTGACTCCCTTTTCCTTCCTTCTCGTGGGTTGAAAGGAATAGGGATTCTGCAGTCGGGGTTAGAAGATGCTTGATGGCACTTCCCAGACGTTCCTCGGGGATTCTGCCCCGGGATCGTCAACCCTGAAGTCAGCATTACAATCGCCCAAACTAGAGCCTTTTTGCGGCGAGGTGGAAGGATGGGGGCCCTTAAGCAAATTCAGGTTTGACCTGACGCCCTGCTTCTTAGATCTTGGTGTGGCTATTGTTGCCGTATGGGGCTTAATCATGGGAGCAGGTGCCATTTGGTTTCTGCTCAAAAAGCGAATCCCCCAACCAGTGTCGAAGAATTGGCATTTTTACGCTAAACTGGTTGGTTTTGGAACCCTTTTGGATCAAGTTATTTGGGACTAACCTAACGTCTAAAATAGATCGTGCTATCCGCTTTGATCTTCACAACGGCTCTTCAAGCAGCGATTCAGGTCGAGACTTTTGCGGATAACTGGCTGGCTGACGTTCGGTTTTGGAGCTCGATCGCTGTGTTTGCTTCCCTGTGTGTGATATTCACAGTCCAATACTATGAGCATTGGCGGAGTAGGCAACCCAACGGTGTCGTTCTCTTCTACTGGCTTTTCTTTACCATCGCCTATGGAATTAAGTTGCGCTCTCTTGTTGCACGAAAGACCTATGAGGACAACCTACCATATTTCGTTTGCTTCAACATCAGCTTAGGACTTGCGCTACTGGAATTTGGACTGGAATACCTCGTTCCCAAGAAGCAGAGCGCCTACGATGCTCTGGGCGACGAAGATGAATGTCCCTATGAGTATGCAGACATATTCTCGGTGCTCAGCTTCAGCTGGATGACGCCAATGATGAAGTTTGGCTATAAGAACTTCCTGACCCAAGATGATCTGTGGAACCTTCGACGCCGTGATACGACTCGTGCCACGGGAGAAACATTGGCGGAAAACTGGGAACAGGAGCTGGAAAAGGACAAACCTTCTTTGTGGATCGCACTCTTCAAGTCCTTCGGTGGCTCGTACACCAGAGGTGCGATCATTAAATGCGGAAGTGATATGCTTGCCTTTGTCCAGCCTCAGCTTCTCCGAGTTCTGATTGATTTCATCAGCTCGTATCAAACCGACACCCCCCAGCCAATTATACGGGGTGTTACTATTGCCCTGGCGATGTTCTTTGTCTCGGTATCGCAAACAATGTGCCTTCACCAGTATTTCCAGAGAGCCTTTGACACTGGCATGCGTGTGAAGTCTTCGTTGACGGCAATGATCTATGCCAAGTCGCTTCGGCTTTCAAGCGAGGGCCGTACATCGAAGACTACCGGCGATATTGTCAACCATATGGCTGTGGACCAGCAGCGTCTATCCGATCTGACTCAATTTGGTACACAGCTGTGGTCGGCGCCGTTCCAAATCACCCTCTGCATGCTATCGCTCTACCAGCTCGTCGGCGTGAGCATGTTCGCCGGTATCGGTGTCATGATTCTTATGATTCCCTTGAATGGAGTGATAGCTCGGATGATGAAAAAGCTCCAGCTCGTCCAGATGAAGAATAAGGATTCAAGGTCGAGGCTGATGACCGAGATTTTGAACAACATCAAGAGTATCAAACTTTATGCCTGGAACACTGCCTTTATGAATAAGCTTAGTCACATCCGTAACGACTTGGAATTGAACACCCTTCGCAAAATCGGAGCGACGCAGTCGGTTGCAAACTTTACATGGCAGTCCACCCCCTTCCTTGTCTCCTGCTCTACATTTACTGTCTTTGCTTTGACGGACCCCCGGCCTCTGACCACTTCAGTGGTATTCCCAGCTCTGACGCTTTTCAACCTCCTTACCTTCCCACTCTCCATTCTGCCTATGGTCATCACATCGATTATTGAGGCTTCCGTGGCTGTTAAGCGTTTGACTGAATATTTCACCGCCGAGGAACTGCAGACCAATGCGGTCAAGCGCGAGGACCCGGTCTCTCATGTCGGGGATGAGTCTGTACGGATTCGTGATGCGTCGTTCACCTGGAACAGGTACGATGGTACTCACGTCGTGGAGAACATCAATTTCAGCGCTCGTAAGGGTGAACTTAGTTGTATAGTAGGCCGCGTCGCGCCGGGAAATCATCTCTCCTCCAGTCACTTTTGGGCGATTTGTGGAGAACGGATGGAGAAGTCATTATCCGTGGCCGTATCGCATACGTCGCACAGTCACCTTGGGTGATGAACGCTAGTGTCCGAGAGAACATTGTCTTCGGGCATCGGTGGGATCCTGACTTTTACGAGCTCACCGTTGAAGCTTGCGCCCTGCTGGATGATTTCAAGAACTTGCCGGATGGAGATCAAACTGAAGTTGGAGAAAGGGGCATCTCGCTCTCCGGCGGACAGAAGGCTCGGTTAACCTTGGCTAGAGCAGTCTATGCTCGTGCAGACATCTACCTTCTCGACGACGTTCTATCGGCAGTTGATCAGCACGTGGGCCGGCACCTTATCAACAAAGTCCTTGGACCAAGTGGAATTCTCGGTAGCAAGACGAGAATCCTTGCGACCAATGCCATTCCCGTTTTGAAGGAGGCGGATTTCATCGGGTTGCTACGAGACAAGACTTTGGTTGAAAAGGGCACCTATGAGCAGCTGCTGGCTATGAAGGGCGAAGTTGCTAATCTCATTCGTACTACTATGAACGATTCGGACGATGATAACTCGAGTGATAATGGTCTTGCTAGTCCCGAAAGCTCGGACTCTACCACGATAATTGACAACGCAGACTCCGATGAGCTTTCGGACACCGACGAAGCCGAACAGGAAATTGGTTCACTCCTGCCCATCAGATCTGGTGCCAACCGGAGAACAAGTACTGTGACTTTGCGACGCGCCAGTACCGTTAGCTGGAAAGGCCCTAGACGCAAGTTAGGAGACGAGGAGAATGTCTTGAAGAGCAAACAAACTCAAGAAACCTCACAGCAAGGCAAAGTCAAGTGGAGTGTATACATGGAATATGCCAAGAACAGCAATGTCGTCGCCGTCTGCTTCTACCTTGCTACTCTTCTGGGTGCACAAACAGCACAGGTCGCTGGCAGCTATTGGCTCAAATATTGGTCAGAGGCTAGCGAAGTGCAAGCAAACCCCAATGTTGGTAAATTCATCGGTGTCTACCTAGCTTTTGGACTAGGATCGTCTATCCTAGTTATAGTCCAGAATCTCATTCTATGGATCTTCTGCTCAATTGAAGTACGTTTACCCTTAGCTCTCTGGCTAATGCAGACCGTGACCATATTGATGAACATTAACAGGCATCTCGGAAATTACATGAGAGGATGGCATTCGCAATCTTCCGATCACCCATGAGCTTCTTTGAAACAACACCGTCTGGAAGAATCCTCAATAGGTTTTCAAGGTGAGTGTGCGTGGCTGACGCGTTTGTATTCGGAAACTGATAGATCTTGCTATAGCGATGTATATCGTATTGATGAAGTCCTTGCGCGCACATTTAACATGGTAAGCCCTACATCTTCTTACACAGAACTTGGGGCTAACTCAATTTTAGTTGTTTGGAAACTCTGCAAAAGCACTGTTTACGATGGGCGTTATCGCGTCGTCCACGCCTGCGTTCCTCATTTTGGTCGTTCCTTTGAGCTACATTTATCTAAGTTATCAAAAGTATTACCTGCGGACTTCCCGAGAATTGAAGCGGTTGGATAGTGTTACGCGCAGTCCCATCTACGCTCATTTCCAAGAATCTCTTGGAGGCATCTCGACTATCCGCGCGTATAAGCAGGAAAATAGATTCACACTCGAAAATGAGTGGCGAATGGATGAGAACCTTCGCGCCTACTTCCCTTCCATTAGTGCGAATAGGTGGTTGGCAGTCCGCCTTGAATTCATTGGTTCAATCATTATTCTGGCCTCTGCAGGGCTTTCTGTCATCGCCGTTGCTACTGGCAGCGGTATATCACCGGGCAAGGTTGGTTTGGCTATGTCATACGCCCTCCAAATTACGCAGTCTCTGAACTGGATCGTCCGTCAAACGGTCGAGGTCGAGACGAACATCGTGTCCGTGGAACGTGTTCTGGAGTACGCTAGCCTCCCAAGTGAAGCGCCTGAGGTGATATTCAAGCACCGTCCCGCCATTGGCTGGCCGGCGCAAGGCGCGGTGTCATTCAAAAACTACAGCACACGGTACCGTCCTGGGCTCGACCTGGTGCTTAAGGATATCAACCTTGATATCAAGCCTCACGAGAAGATTGGTGTTGTTGGCCGTACGGGTGCAGGAAAGAGTTCCCTTACTCTGGCGCTCTTCCGCATCATTGAGCCAGATGGTGGCAGTATTAGGTGAGTCCTAGTGCCCGACTGTTGACGCTGGCGCTGCGCTAACTTGATTGATAGCATTGATGGGCTAAATGTGTCTACTATTGGCCTGTTTGACTTGCGAGGCCGCCTCGCCATCATTCCCCAAGACCCAGCCATGTTTGAGGGCACCGTACGGGACAACCTGGACCCTCGTCATGTGCATGATGACACAGAGCTGTGGAGTGTGCTCGGTACGTTGGGCTCGCCTCTTTGCATGTGGAGAAAGTGAATGGCTGACTGACCCGTTAACTCGCAGAGCATGCACGACTGAAAGATCACGTTGCAAGCATGGACGGCCAGCTGGATGCCCGAATTCAAGAAGGAGGTAAGAATTTGGCCGCTTTTCGCGCTTGCAGCCGCGTGACGTTGGAATTTCCTAGGGCTGGACTAACATGGCACCAACAGGATCCAACCTGAGTCAAGGCCAGCGTCAGCTAGTGTCTCTAGCACGGGCATTGTTGACGCCCAGCAATATTCTGGTTCTTGATGAAGCAACAGTAAGTGGCCAGTTTGCCACACCGTTTTTTCCCCTCTACCGCCTTTTCCTTCGGATTTACTTTTTTGGTATTTACTAACGGTGACTTTAGGCGGCCGTGGATGTGGAAACAGATGCATTACTGCAACGCACCTTGCGCAGTAGCATCTTCCAGGATCGCACTATCATCACTATCGCACATCGCATCAACACGATCATCGATTCTGACCGAATTGTTGTGTTGGACAAGGGCCGAGTGGCCGAATTTGACACACCTGCCAATCTGATTAAGTCCGGCGGCAAATTCTATGAACTTGTCAAGGAAGCGGGTCTGCTTGATAACGAAGGACTTGCCCTGGTGCAATAATTGCCGGCTTCACTCCCACAGTGGCGAAGACATGTGAGTGGCTGGGCCAAAGCGAGAGAGGCTTTTCTCTAATCTCGGGCCGATCTCTCGAATCTGGACCTCGTAGGAGACCCAGGTGAGAAAGAGGATGACCGCATCTTGGCTGAACTTGCATGCACCAGCGACACTAGACGATCCATTAAGTGTCTGTGCGCACGGGAGAGGGGTTTATGAAGGATCAAGGGCCCTATCCCTCTCTTATACGAGCTCGGCAAGATCACAGAGAGCCGATCCATTCGCAGCTTTTCTCTTTTCAGACGAGGAACCAAAAGTACGGGTCGATGATCGCTTCGTACCCATGGCGTCGGAAGGAGTTTATTTAATTAATTGTGTGGTTGCCTTTTTTACTTTCGATGTCTACCTATACTGAAAAAGCCCTGTACCTATTGCACATAGCTAACCCAAGAGTAAAATTGCGAATTCACGTGCCATTTATTTCCACTCGGATGGAAGACCAACTCTCGCCAGAAGCAAAACACGAAAAAATCGATGTGTCAACAATGGCGGTGTAGGGGATCCCCTGTAAGTCACTGCAGCAATTATCTGCATACCTTCAACCATTGAAAAGGACAACACTGCAGGACTAAGTAGTAGTAGGTAGTCGGAACCACCCGATGTTGATTATAAATCGCAACTGTCCTAAATGGGTAAGAGAAATAGCACCTAATTATGCCGAGCATATCTTCCCGATCAGTAAACAACAGAGGTTAACCTGAATATGGACTTCTTCTTACTACGGAGCACACACCGAGAAAAAACAACAACCAGCCACTCTTTCGTTCCAAACCCCGCAGAAAACACTCAACCTTCTAGCAAATAAACCAAAACCAAAAACAAAAACAAATAACATTTCAAAAAGAAACACATTGTCAAACCAGATTCTGCCCCCCACGATTGGCCTTCCCCCCCCGAATATTAACTTCAGAAATCTAATCACCTGCCAGCCACGCGCGCGCGCACAGAAGTTCCAGTTCCGGTTCCTCTCAAAGGATTGATTGATTGATTGCCAATTTCTATAGATAGTATCCGTAGGATTTTTTTCCCCCTCACCCCCCAAATATTCCCGAAAACTAACTGCCACCTGCGATCGATTGCCTTGCCTCATGTTCGTGTTTTCGAACAATTAAAAAAAATTAAAAATTCATAATCTTCTTTACGTATCGGGGGGGAAAACAGGCGCATGGCCCGGGGATATTTGAGTTCGCTCCCTTGCTTGGTGGCTTTAGCATGAGGCTTGGTGCTAATTTTCAATAATCACCGATGATCGTATACCGTATCTCTCGCGTGGCGATGGGGGGTTACGAATGTATGTATGAAAGGGGGAAAAAAAATGGTACAATAAATACATTACCGAAAACAATACTCATAAATTCATACTACTTATTATGAAGAGGGGGAGGGGGGGGGTCATTTACATAGGCCATGGAGGAGCGGACTTTGTATCCGTACTTTAAGTCGTTGACTAAGTAGTAGTTAGTTAACTATGTTGTCACTGTGGGTGCGCACTATGATAGTGTGTACCAGGAAAACTAAATCTCACTAGATGTCGGCACGACATAATAGACTCCGTGAGTCTTCAATTCCATTCATCTTTTGATCAATTCCCTGTTCTGTACCTAGACTTCGTACTTTTACTTCCTCAAGAGGAATGAGAAATAGGTGGAGAGAAAAAGAGAGAGAGAGAGAGAGAGAGAGGACAAAACTCGGATATAACTAGGGGACTAAACTAGCCACCTCCGACAGGCCACACGGAAAGCCTCATCGCAACTTAGCAGCCCCATCGCGGCCACGAACAAAAAGCTGGGATCGCACTAGCCCAGCCGGAAATCGATCTTGCATGGCCCCGTCCCAGGGCGACCTGGTAATCGGGTCAGAGGATGGGCCTTTGAGTTCTTCAGTGGGAGGGAGTCGTGGGTAGTGGTTATCCACTCGATGGCTGTTTTCAGCGGCGTGCAGACTTGGGGCGTTCCATCGTGGGATCTGAGGACCGAGTGGGCATTGATGCGCTGGATTTGGTTGGTGGCAGGGATCTCCGTCGGTGTTTGGGATTTGCACGTCTCGGGGAAGGGGAAGGGATCGACTGGGGGGAATTTTATATCTTGAAAAGAGAAAGACAAGAGTTAGATGGGGAAGAGAGATAGGGTTTTGTGGTGTTGTCTCGATTTGGTGGGGAGGATTTGGATGGTTTGGCTAAAAGTATTTGTATATTGAATTACGGAGTACTATGTATGAGAATGTTGAGATCTGGACTTGACTGTACCGCATAATGTCTGACTGCTGCGACATAATTCATATCATTGCCGGTACCTGTATCATCGCTCAATTTCTAATTCTTCCAGGGACCTGCATGACGGTCCAGAGCAGAAGGTGAACCACAGTCAGCAGTGAGTAAGCAGGTAAAACATGATAGAAAACGCTCGGGCCGTTTCGTCTTAACGAGATCGCAGTCCGGTCAGCCACTAGAGATTCAAATTGATCCATTCCTTGCGTCAGTCCCACCCATTTTTACCTCCGCGCGCTGCTGATAGTTCAGTCGATCCATCATCGTCTACCAGGGTTGTTGACGCCGGGGCAGCGGGAACGCCGGCACGCTCATACCCGAGGGGGGGGAAAAAACGGACGTAAATTGGAGTCAGCTACACAATGCTCCGGAATTCCTCCCCCAGGCGAAGGCGAACATCTCCTTTTCGTACAGGTAGAACCAACATCGAAGATTCTCCATTATAACCTACAGTAGTTTAATGGGTCTTGACAGCTGGCTGTGGTCTATTTGTCCAGCCGCAGCGAGTGGTGGAGCTCTGCAGCCGGACTGACATGGATGGTGCATTTCAGCCACGATGGAAGTGTCTTGTTTGAGATTAGCTTTGGGAGGGGGATGTGGCTTGGGTGTTAATCCACTGTTATGGTTTTTTTTTTTCCCCAATGCCTTTGTGCAGTGGGTAAGGTTTTTCCAAACTCTGGTGATTCTTCCCCAGTTGCTTACTTGTGTTAAGGTCAAAGGTCCTGGGTCAGGATGGAGTAGCAAATGGGAAAAATTGTCTGAGCGTCTCGAACCAACGAACCCATCGGTATGCTTTTCCGGACAATAGCTCCTTCATCATATCAAATCAAATATTCGCCCCAAGGCGCAGGACAGACAAAGTAAGAGTTTCCAATAGAAGGGCACCCCTGGTCCCGTGCAGATCCCAAGCCAATCGCCTCGCAATAGTGTTGCTCAGTTTAGAAATATCTCCGTTCCCCCATTTTTGCAAATCACTTCAGGTCTTGAACCGAACTGGACCATTTCTCTCCCTTATGCATGGTACTTTGGGCGTACCAGGAAATCAGGAGAACGGGGAAGTGGAGGAAGCGCAAAAAACTTTATCATACATACTTTAGTCGCCTCGAGCGGAGACGGACGAGGGAGATCGATAGGTGGAGAGACCATCCTGAGTGATGAAGAATGACAAAAACCTGAAACGAAACTCACGTCGTTATCTCGAGTTTTCCGGTTACGGATGGCGCAGGTCGTTGGAAGTCGTTAGAACGTTGACCTGTCAATGTTGCTGTGATCTCATTGCTTTTTCTCTCTCCTATCCCTATTTTCTTTTTTTTCTTTTTCGAGTTTCCTTTGCTTTTTACGGTACATTCGTACAGTAGTTGGAAAGTATATTTGAGTGGGGGAATTCAATATTCTCCGGCGGGAAAAGGCCTAGTCGCCTACCGTTAGATTGAACAAACTGTCATTGTCTCAGAGTTCTCTTGACCCAGACCCTCCAGTGATGTTATACTTCACTGTCCTGTGCAGATGTCTTGATGTATGCACCCAGGGTATACCTCCGAGTAATGCCGAGTGACATCCCCAGACGCTGAGACAGGCTATCTCCTGTGCAGATCCTGCAGTGTAGATCGCTTGCCTGGATACTCGTGGACTGGAAATAATTTCCAGTCGAGCACGTCACCATTCTTTAGGCGGTGATAACTGGATCTGGAAGGAGGCTGCGTCAAAGCTAAGGCCGAAGTCCAAGCGAAGGGGATATTCGGTGAAGTGTGGGGAGATTGACGGCGGTGGGTGGGAACGAAAGAACGCTAAGGTACGTTGACAGAAAAAGCAAGAAATAACGAACAAAAGCAAAGAAACCAAAAATAACTAATAATGTTTTTTTTGGGAGGGAATTCTCCTTAAGAATGACAAAGTACCAGATCAGATCTCTCCCTCTTTTTTTTTCGCCAATACCAAAGAGGAAACTGGAAATCTGATATCAAGCGATCGGCATTCCAAATACATGGATCATCCCTACTCTATAGTGATTCCCGGGACCAATCATGGACCCAGCCTCGTGGTTCACAGACCTGAGTCGGCTTAGCGAGCACTGGACGGGCAAATCATGCGCGCTTGAATCATGCGCGATGGAGGGTTAGCTCCGAGAAATGCCATGGCAGCGGACACGGCCATGCAGGCGAGCTCCACAACCCGGCTAACCATGCTATTGTTTTGCACCAGTCAGAGGCCCCAGACAGGGATGTTTCGAGTAAGGTAGCTTCGGAGCTAATGCATATGACTGCAGACCTTTTGAGTGATCTCGGCAGTGGGTTTCTATAGGCGCGGGTGGGAAAGTCAGGTGCCCGACCGTGAAACTCTACCCATGATAAACTATACACTTAAAATGCGAAACGAGGTTTTAGGGGATGGCGATTATGGTGAAGTAAGGGAGTGGTATGAAGTCAAATCTAAACTCTACTCCGCGTTCACACATGGGCGAGTCTCTGGAAGTCTCCAGCTGAGTGACTCGCATCCGGGTGGGTTTGGCGGACCGTCGAACTCTATCGCTTCCCCATTGATATGAGCTGTTACAGAAACTTTTGACTCGTCCAGCAGACCCAGACAGATTGGGAACAACAACAACTGCGCTCACCGGATAAGCTCTGCGGAAGTTGCGCGAACCATAAGGACTCGTTCTATCGTTCCATGGTCCCTGCGGATGCTGGTGTGAGTTTTGACATGCTGCGGTTCGCTGCGGATCCATCGTTCGCGATCGAAGGACAGGGTTAGAACTTGACTCGCAGCTGTGATGTTACACAAAAGGAGGATCAAAGCGATCCATGATGTCTGTGCCAGGAACGGTGGCGACCGAGCGACCAGGCTCTCGGCCGAAGCCAATCGCAAGCTGTGGATATCATGGAAGATCGAACACTGTTGGAAGTATCACTTTTTGGAAGGACAGGAAACCCTGGCGCGTGGTCGGCGCTAGTAGGGGTGCCCTTACCCCACGAATGCTTTTCCCACTCTTCCAAATCGCATATCCATCGGAGATTTGATTATCTAAACCGCTGTGTCTCAACCAGTCAGTATACCCATCATATCGGATGTGC